GCGTATGAAATAAATTGCTGTCTCATGTATTTAAATATTCAAATGACACCATTTACATTAATAAGATGGTATTTTATTTTGAATTAGAAAAAAAGAATACCTAAACAATAAATTGTGTTCCTTTATGCAAATACAGCAATTAACTTTATATTCTGCTTAGAAGTAAATCGTATTTAACAATAATTAATCTCAGGTATTGTAAAATATTCATAATTATTATTTTAATTAGAAATAAACCCGCAAACAGTATAGATGACCCACGCTGAACTGTCCCACCAAACTCAATGACAGGGGGGCTCTACCATCGTTCAAATACATGGTTTCCAACATAGCAAAAATCGGAACCAGCGATCCGGTATTGACGGTGGCGCCCCGCTGTCAATGTCATGGATAGGACAGTTCAGTATTTTGGAACTATAAAATATTGTTTCAGAAACCTCGTGTTACACATTAGCGCCTCTAGCGGTGAATTTACGCACTAGCTTACACTGTGTGAGAGTGAGAGACTTACAATTAAAATAAAATGCAAAAATATCATAAAAATCATTTATTGCTTGTAATGTCGATTTACTTACAAGTGAGTACAAAATAATAACTTTAGCTCTAACAATATACATTTTGATACACAGTCAACGATTTCATATTTGGTGCGCTTTATGGCCTATACGGGACGAAGATTAGAAAAAAAAGTCCACTTTGAAAAAGAAGTTTCTGTCGAGATTATGTAGGAAAGTTATTTTTAAGTTATGTATTACTTCTTATTTATGTAGACAAAATATTACCAAGGTCAAAGGATAACAATATTATAATAATATGCAATCAAAGGATCATTATGGATTACATTTTGGGTCCATATTTTTTATCACCACAGAAATTACACGTAAAATTATATTTTTCCCTTAAAAAATCGACCGCAAATTCGCAAAGTCGCGGGTTCAACTTCCATCAAGGACAGTATTTTTTCTGTATATTTAGCTTTATAAATGCAAAAATCCCAATAACTTTCGTAAAATGATTATCGTCCCGCGAAATTATCCAAAAAATCAACAATATTTAACGCTAGCCAAAATACACTTTGTATTATTACAAAACATATTTTTATACATTTTTATTCATTCGCAACTTCGTCGTTAAAAATACATTTCCATACAACCACCTAATTTTGTGCACGAATAATATTTTCTTTCAGTCAAATAAAACAATAATATTTGTTCAATCGCCTTGTAAAAAAAGATCTTCTAATAATTAAAATACTGAAACAAAAATAGACTTAGAACTAAAGTATATACATTTCATATTATGGTATTTAATTTCAGAGCAACAGAATTTAGTTTAAAAAATCCTTTTGTCAGACTTAATAAAGTGCTATTGGTATCTCAAACGAACCAAAGGAGAAAAAAAGAGAAATAATTATCACGGATACGTACGTNTGGGTGTCCAAACACCCTTAAACCCGGTCTATAAGAAACCCGCGTTCGCAGGGTTGCTATGACGAAATAAGGGTTCATATTCTGTATTGTAAAATACTGGCTTATAGAAAAGCTCAAAGTTGTACAGCGTGCTATGGAGAGGGCTATGCTCGGTGTTTCTTTACGAGATCGAATCAGAAATGAGGAGATCCGTAAACGAACTAAAGCCACTGAAATGGCTCGATGGATTAGCAAGCTGAAGTGGCAATAGGCAGGGCACATAGTACGTAGAACTGATGGCCGATGGGTCAGCAAGGTTCTTGAGCTGAGGCCGCCTACCGGAAAACGCAGCGTGGGGCGGTCCACCCACAAAGTGGAACATCATCAAGGTCAGGAATACGACATCAGGAAGGCGCTGGACAAAGGCCGCTATCAATATAATATATTTTATGTAAACAAAATCACAGGAATGCGTCAATTTCAATAAACACGATCGACACATGCGATAAGAGGGAGATATTACATTTTAATGTAAACACCACCTGTTTTGTTTATTCCCGTTACCCGTACCTTTACGGTTCTGGAGCGACCTAAACTCTGATTACCATGCACAGAAAATAACTGGCCAGGTTTATTTTTGCTCAGTATCCATCCTCTAAAATTAATGATCTACAATTTTTTATCTTTTTTGTACCAAAAGTATTTTTATAAAGACAACAAGTCGGCCGACATTTTGTTAGTATTTATTTTATATTATAAATCAATTTATAACTAGATAGGTATTGCTTCCGGCCCGTGGTCGTCACTCGAGAATTTTCCTGCCCCAACGGCCATCATCTCTACCAGCTATGTTCTTGAGTGGCGACCACGGGCTGGAAGACCTAGCGTGGGCAGGACTCCCACTAGGTGGACCGACGATCTGGTGAAGGTCGCTATAAGAGTTTTTTGTCGGCCGTTTGGTGTAGTGGTTCGAAACGGACTACTATACTGGAGGTAGCGGGTTCGATTCCCGCACAGTACAAACATTCGTGTGCATGAATATATTTGTTTGTATTGGACTGGGTGTTTTCTATGTATAATAAGTATGTATTTACAAAAAAAAACAAGTATTTAAATATGTTTATATCCGTTGTCTAGTACCCATAGTACAAGCTTTGCTTAGTTTGGGACTAGAAGCGCAGTGTAAAATGTCCAAGGATATTTATTATTTTTATTAAGAGCCTGGATGCGAGCAGCGCAGGACCGGTCGTTATAGAAAGCCTTAGGGGAGGCCTTTGTCCAGCAGTGGACGTCATTTGGCTGAAACGAACGAACGAAGGTACTCTTAATGAACTTTTTTTCAACAAATAAAAATATCCTACTCAATTTTAATAGTCAAGTCTACCCAGTCACAGTCACTGTCAACATCTTTGCTTCTTGTTTACATTTGCCTCGACAAAAATTTCGTATTCAGCATCATCTCGGATGGAATGTAATAAATATTAATGCTATTTTTTATGTAGATAACCTGTCGCCAAATGTGTTACGGTTTTACCAACATGTAGATCGATTATTGATTTTACGAGAAGTAATGAAATTATTAGTCTAATGTCGTGTTGTCCTAATTTTGTGCTAGAAATTGGCATTAGAATCGTTTATCCTAGATTAAAATTAATGATCTTTTATTTTGATTAATTAACGTCAAGGTATAGCCTAATAAATAGTAGCCTGAAATAGTGAAGGTATTTAAAAATATTACCAAAATAATCATTAATTTTGTATAAAATACTTAGAATTAAATAAAAATTAGGAATATTCACTGTCCTGTATTTGCTCCAGCAGCATAACGCCATTTGAACAACGATCACTTCACTTCACTTTAGACGTCCGTTCACGGTAAAGGTTCGACACTGACTGACTTTCTGATACTGTGTTCGTAATCAGGGTTGCCAACTCTACGTATTTTTACGNTTTTTGAAACAAAATTTGTAGAGAATTTAGTATTCTACAATATTGATAATAAATACAAATAGCAAAAAACCCATAGGAAATGAGATATTTCCAAAAAAAGCGCAAAAAACTGATTTTTGTGACCTTTGACCTTAAAATTTAATAGTTGCTTACACCCTACCATATGTAGGTTTTGAGACAATTTTTAGGGTGTCAATATACAAGTATTTACAGACTTACAGCTGGGTATCTCTAATTCCGAGATTCTTACCTAATTTAAGCTTAAATGACTGGACTAAATACGTACCTTTGAATGACATGAAATAAAAATTATACACATACTTAATTTTGGACTGGAAAGCACGTATTTTCTCACTAAGCAAAACAATTAAAACTACGTATTGAATTAAAAATACACAATTTCTTTCACCATCATTGCACCATGAGTACGAGTTACATTTAACTTTTTAATAATAAAATTACATTTATGGTAACTTATTTTCACTAAGATATAAATATTTAAAAATATCGTAATAACTTTGGGTGAATGGCATCCAGTGAAATATCACAATGCTTCATATACATACAATATCATTATGCTAGTTTAGTGTCATTTTTAATGTTACAACTATTATTTGAAAAACAATACATTACATACAAACATTAATGCCTCTGGCTTCTCATACCCTACAAAATACGGTCTATGGTTATTTTTTACGTATAATTACGTCAGGAAGACACTAGATATCACTTTTATTCTTTATTTTATATCTATAGCGCTTTTTTCAGTTTTGTTTCATAAAATAAAAGGTATTATTCAGAAGATTTGGTATTTTTTAAAATTTTCAACAGCTTTTTATATTGGTACACTTTTTCTCACTATTGTGAACATTGGTAAGTACAATACGTAAATGGTGGGTAAATAATAATAATATGGCATTTTGCCTAAGCTAATAAGTAATAAGGATATTTCAGAAAAGGGGAAATAGACAACAAACAATAAAATCTGTTAGTTGCTTCATTAGATCAACAATAAAATAATTGAGTTCCTGTAATAAACATTTTGTGATGAATCAATTTATTACAGACCTTCAGAAGAATGTAATTGAATTGTTTTGTCATTAGAGGTAAGCAGCACCGCTCATTATTTATAATGTGATTTCCTAGTATTTGTAAAATAATGATACGTCCGATAAGTCTATGTTCTACCATTTACAGCATTTGGGTGTGCACATAAAAACATATTATGTTTTATAATACTCTTTTTTGCTCACGTCATTGCTTTTCATCACTCTTTTAGGATATTTTTCTGTACACACCATACTGTAATGGCCACAGATCACAGAAACTAAAGGGAGATGTGACAAGGGGGCGTGGCCGGTGTCGCAGCAATTATATGCCCAAAAACAGAACACATTGCTCGCGACAGCAATGATGACAGCAGCGACGTCATAATGTTAACAGTTTACATTGCTTGCGTAGTACTAAATATTACTGGAACGTTGAGTACTGATACCGCAGTGGATAATGAGCACATATTTTGATTACTTTGTGTGTGTGAGTTGGCATCTCTCTATATCTGTATGGTTATAACCAAATTACCACACTTGTATTGACTACACGCACAAAATCGATGGGATTAAATATTTGTAGTAATATATATTTTTTTATGATTTAAGTTTGGATTTGTATACAAGTGACACATTTTTTAATTCCCTTTCGAATTTATGCTTTCTCCAATAGACAATAATTTGGCGCCTATACTTCGCCTTGTATCTATCAAGTTCACAAATGGCCCCCAAGGGGTCAAATAAAATAAATAAATGGAAACATTTTAAACTTACATTGCCTACGTGTTATTCTGTGCATTTTTCTTCTTAGGCGGGGGCGTGGGGGGTTTATCAGAACCAGTATTTCGTCTCATAGCCAGGGAATTGTATAGAAAGGACCCCCGAGGGGTCCATACTGTGTCGTAGTTGTTTCTCGGAGGTAGAACAGCTGTGTTGTTGTTTGTTTCGTCTAATTCCATGCTGCGATGGGAGAGTTTCTCGGGGAGTGGCGGAGGCTCCTCGTCGTCTTGATTTGAATCTGTTGTGCCTGTAAGATTGCCGTTTGATTATAAACTGTTATAAAAGACCGTCAAATTATAAAGCACTGTGTATTCTTCTTTTTACCGTTTATCAGAGTGTGCACACTCTGTTATTTAAGCAGATGTCGACTTTGGATTTTACACGGCGCCATATAGACTCGATATAGGCAGAGCTTGTGAGAGCCAACATACAAAAATAATATTTTATGCAGATGCGATCTATGATAGAGTGAGCTTGCCCAGAATTATGCCAGTCCACTGGATCTTAAATATTTTCCTAACATACACAGAAAATATCCAGAAGAATACAACTTATGCGGAGGTAAATCCTGCAACCACTGGCATAACATTATGCGTATTACCAGGCAAGGCGGCTATCAAATGTATGTACTCTACTATTATGCAGGTTGTACATCAAGAGCTAACTTAATTTAGCCCAGCTCGCATAGCTGACACAAATTCTCATGATCTTTGCAATTTAACTGCACATACTATCCATTCGCTTTAAGTTTGCCGCTGGCGATATGACGTAACTCGAAGGAAAGCGTCTTTAACTATGACAAACTATATTTAAAACATTTTTTTACTTATTATTATTGATAAAAATTGTGTATTTGCGTAAAATAAGACACATTAATTGCGTTTAATCACTAACACTATTGCGTTTAATCGCGGTTGGGGGAGGGGACGGGCATTCCACGGACTGGCAAACTTATTGCGAACGGGTAAAGCCTGGTCCGTGAGCACGTAGAATCCCGTCCAATGACCCCAAGCTGCCCATCCTTGTCGCTCGCACGTAATTATGTTGCTGTCGCGCTCGCACACTCACTGCGGTCGCCCGTCCAGGGTTGCCAACTCTACGTATTTTTACGTAGATCTACGTATTTTAAGCCTTCCTTGCAAACCTACGAACTTTAGTCCCAGAATCTACGTATTTTCTATCAAATTTGCAAAATAGGCTGAATGGGCATCGTTTCCTTTACTTTCGCGAAATTTCACATGGGTTATTAGCCAATCACGGTTATTTGGCATGTGGCAAAAGTCTGAACTAATGTTATTTTGACATTTCCCCATAGAAAAAATGCTGTACAGCGCCCCCCTGTAAATGTCACTGAAGAGCCTTATGCCTGTTTTCACCATCAATCCCTAATTTTTAAGTGACCCCTATGGTAACACATAATATGAATTTCGTTGTCATAGGGCTCACTCAAGAATTAGGCATTGATGGTGAAAACGGGCATTAATCTGATATGAAATTTGACCTGACTTGACTGTGTGTGTAAGTAAACCGTCAGACGATCAAAGTGAATCTTCACTATAAAAATATTTCGAACTATGATTGTGCTAAGAATTCGAAGGTGTTGTTGTATTTTGATATTTTCAACTTCCTGCTCAATTTAATTGAATTCAATTATGGCTTAAAAAGAACCGCGAGCCTTCGCTGGAACACATTTTGGATTTTAACAAATACGTAATATATGTATGTATAAATTTAATTTGCCTGAAAACATTTCTGAAAATGATACACAATAAAATTGTGCTTTACTAATTTTAGGGTAATATAAATTGTCGTTTTATTACTTTTACCTAACCCTACTCTCTTCATTTCACTCAGAAAAAAAAGTACGTAGATCTACGTATTTTCTATATGGAAATTGTACCATTTCTACGTAATTTTCTAATCTGTCCTACGACTTTTTCAAAATCCGAGTTGGCAACACTGCGCCCGTCGCACAGTCGCGACAGCAATATAATTACGCGCGAGCGATAAGGATGGATAGCTTGGGGTCATTGGACGGGATTCTACGTGCTCACGGACCAGGCTTTAGTAACTATGAAACTTTGCAACCGGTATCGAAAACCCTAATACTCACCCATGGAATCCCTATTGGATGGCGGCGCGGAAGAGGTCAGCAGACTGGTGCGCTGCGACAGCCGTCTCTCTCGCTCCACGTCCGCTCGGAGAGGCCTCTCAGTGACCAGCTGTAAAGTTTATAATGTTCAAGACGTTTGTAACTCAATAGTTAAGACGGATTGTTGACTTCTGCGATTTTTGTTTAGTATAAGATATAAGCGGTAGCGGAGCGGCAAAGATATGTTTCGAGTCAAAACGCGCATTTCAGGCTCTCTGAGTATTTTTTACATAATAAAATGAGGATAAAAATTCCATTACTAAGCTAGTAATAGATTTATGAAGCATCGTAGCCAAATTCTAAAATAAAGACTTTCATAAATATTTCGGCGCGCATAAAAATTGATTTGACCAAGCGTTTTCATTCTTTGAGCGCGAAGCAGCGATAGCTCGATCAGCAAAACGATTCCAACGATATATCTGCTCTATCCTTCTCTTTCACTCATGGATGGAATGCGAAAAAGCGAGAGATAAACCTTTACATATCATACATAAAAGAAAGTCAAGTTAGTTACACCTTTTATAACTCAAGAACGGCTGAAATTTTTATGATAAAATTTAGTATGGAGGTAGCTGACAGTGACACCCTGGAAGCACTCGGTCGACCATTTTATTGATAACGTCATCAAATATTTTTTGTTTGATTAACACATTTTTTCTTATTTTTCAATGTCAGATCAACCCGAATTTGATCCTTATCTAAAATTTAAGGTAGCAATGCTTTCTATGTCATATTTGCATGTCGCATGCGACTTTTACTCCTTGTAGCGGACAGCCGCTCGGGCGTGCGGAAATAAGAAAATATCTTCGATTCAAAATAAAGATGTATTTCTGCGTTAAATGCCCAGACGGCTATCAAAAACATACACTTCAAAACTAAAAACAAAAGGTATCAAAAAGAGTAAATAAAAGTACAAAAACAGACAATATCCACCTATCGGTTCCCAACACTTCTCATGTGATAATTTGTAACCATATTCTTGATATAAATGATATTATACTTAATTTGATATTTGGGATTATTAATGCCTATTCAAAAAAGCCGGTCTGTATATTAATTTTCATGCATCTCTCTCTCTCATCATCTAGAGCGATAGAGACAGATAGAACAGATTTATGAAATCGTTGAGCGCAGTAAGCCAGCCGCTATGAAATGTGTCCATACCCGCGCCCGCTACCGCTTCCGCGTCCGGCGACGTGCGAGCGTGCCGCCCTGCGTGAGACATGCGTTAACAACGTGCGGGTGCTGTGACGTCACAACACGTGCTCGTGTCATGAAACGTGTGTGGTGACGTCACTTTAACGTGCTCGTTTCATAATGCATCATAGGAATTAATTGTAAAAAATAATTAATCATTATCCCATGCAGTGGAATTGGACGTGATTCAAATCATTATGGTACGGGATCAATGTACAAAAAGTACCTATGTATAATCCCTTTGCGTTTGATTTTTGTTTTAAGACACACATCACACACACCAAACCATACATACACATACTTTTTATTAGGGATAAACATGCACTTCAATGCAAGGAATATAATGAAATATCTTTAAAAATAGGATTGTCTATCTAACAAATGATTAATTACTTTGTCATCGCTTCAGGGTAGAATTTTCTTCGTGAGGTATAACTGTATAACATTAATTTAATTAAACGCCAATAAAATCCAAGCAGTGAAGTATAAGTTAGTTCAGGAAAAAGATACAACACATTTATTGAAGATAATGTTAGTCCCATCAAAGTTAATCTACCATAGACTCACAAGGGAATTAGGTAATCAGAAAAAAAAACTGTTCGAAGAACTACAAAACAAAAGGCTACAGTCACCTGGGGTTACTTTTATCATAAGATTTTAAACTTTCGCGATCCATATCAATTAAAATAGTAAGACACGGATCTTAACGCGACGTTTATTAATGAGTTACATTATGTACCTACTCAGTAGCATCGCAGCCGAAACGTCAAGCCGTGAGTACATAATGTAACTCATTAATAAACGTCGCATTAAGACCCGTGTCTTACTATTTTAGTCACTTTTACTAGTAAATTTACATAAATTAAAAGTTACCCGAGTTTCAGTTAAACTTGGAACAGTGAAAAAAGTTACCCTGGCAGTCAAAATAGACATGTTGACACCACCAATCAATTGACGTACTTTTTAAAACTGTCAAAACGAAACTCTCCCATAGATTTAGTATGGCACTACAAGCAAGTGACGTCACTATTTTTTCAACTCAATTAAACTACTTTTTTCAATTACAATGCGAACAAAATTCGTAATTTACAGGTAATTTAAAATTAATTAAGTTTTTAAGACCAGAATTAAGGGTCTTTATAAAAAAGTTGTGGTTTTGAATTATTGGGGTATGGTGTCAAACTGTCTATTACCCAAGGGGTCTGTACGATGATAGTATTTACATACCTCCAAAACAAATGTTAGTCACACCACCAAAAACTGATCTACGTTCTACTTACAGTACGTACCTCCTGCCTGAGCTCACGCAGAGGCGACGCGGAGGTTGTTTGTTCCTGGTTGTTGTTGTTTGTTGTTGTTGTTGTGACGTTGTTGTTGACGGCTGAAGGGGTTCCGTTGGGCGTTGATGACGTGTACCACTGGCTGCCGCTTGCGCCGACTTCGCTCTGCATGCGGTTAAGTGCGTGAGTGCCGGTGCGTAAGTGTATTTATATAGGTACAATTAACAGCAAAAGTGGGTGAATTTCGCACATGAATATTGAATCCGAAATTCAATCAGTAATATTCATCGTCAGCTAATCTTAGGTACATTTTACAATCACTCATTTTAGAATCACTTCAACGCTGAACACAGTTCATTGTTCAGTATTGAATTTCTAATTTTGATCACCGACTTTTGCTGTACATGTAGAAATGTGACTTATTTACATATTTATTGAGATCAAAATGCAATTTAACAAAGTGGGATAGTACTGAACTGAGAAAAAAAGTCGAATAGCATTGCCTTTACATAGGTACATGTGAAAATATGACTTATTAATGTAATTTTATAAAAACTTGCGATAGTCACGATGCTTTATTGTACTCGTGTCACCATTTATAACATTCTCTGATGTCCTATCCTATGTATTGTGATAGATGCGTTGTTGCAACAAGAATGTATATTCTGATGTGCGATCGACAGTACACAATAACAAGCGCCACTGACCTTCCTCCCTTTCCGCTTATCCCTTCTCTTTGGTGTGCTCTGTAGCGTGCCGAAGTTCAGGTAACCTCCGCCGCTGCTGTTCCTACTGTAAAAAGAATATTTTACGTCAGTAAATGTTACGTCCACTTATTTTTATGCAGAGTAAAACAGTTGGTTATCGTTGAGAAAAGATAATAATTTCAAATAAACAATATTTACCTTGCTAGTGGATTTATTGCACTATTAAAGCTGAAAAATTTCGACCTCGACGATCTGAAAGAGAGAAATGTTAATATAATTAATGCAGAAATGAAAAGATCTCTAATAAACAAAATATCATTTAGCAAAAACTGAGGTGGAATTGTGTAAAGCAATCGTAATAATTTGACAGTTCATAACTTTTGACAGAATAATCGTACGTTATGAACTATCAAATGATTATGATTGCTTTACACAATTCCACCTATGATTGTATGTAAGAGTAGTTTATGTTCTTATAATAAGTTTTGAAATCATTTGAGGAAACTTAAGGTTGCTGTGATAGACAACGGTAGGTCAAGTAGATCGTTTTAGCACCTTATTTACACGTAAAAGGTTCTTCTATTTTGCAAAAAAAACCTATCTTCTAATGAGTATAAGAACTATTTGTCATACTTACTCGTTAGTCCCCGTGGAGATGTCAGAGATGCGGTTATTGGTGGTGTTGCCAGCATCCGAGGGTAGACTGTCCCTCATCGTTCTCAGCTGAACCTCCGGGGTCTCGGGTTCGAAGTCCGCCATCTGCGTTGATGAATAAATAAGTTTTTAGAAATCAACGAAGTTTTAAGCCATTATTTTCAGTTCCTTAAAATTGCACCAGTTAAGAAAAGCTGTTTCAAAAACTATATTACGAAGAACAGCCGCATCTTTTTGGAATAAGAAATTATGACCAAAACATTCTCAATTTTTAAGTCTGTAAATAACATTATTTATACATAAAAAATATATGCCTATTTTAAAAAACTGAGACGTGTATAAATGCCTCGCAAATGGCCTAGGAAGCCAAATCAAATTAAAATTATATACAAGAAACAAAATTGACCACAGCGCCTCTTTACTGCGAAGTTTTGAGTAGACATTAGTCGTCCGTACCCAGGAGCGAACAGAAAATCGTTTGCGGAATTAGCAACTCAAGACGTCTAATTTAAAAGAGCCCTATGAAGACAAAAGCCAGACAGAACAATGAAGAACATACCTTCCGTCCATACCGCTGGTGCACGTGTTGTTGGACTCTCTTGAACTGTGACGACATGTGCGAGTGTAAGGCTTCCATGCTCGCCGGCACTCGCGCGCCGTGCACTTCCAGGCCTGTTGGGGTCAAGGTGCTTTATTGAGTTGGGTAGTTTATACTATTGGAAGATAAATAAGGCAAAACTTTCCATTATTTTAGGCATGTAAATCAGTGTTTTAGATTTTTAGTTGCTATGAAATCATTCAATAGTTTGATAATATACTATTTGACACCATTCACCAATAATTAGAAATCACAACTTAATAATTAACTTAAAAAAAAAAAAACCGACTTCTAATGGGTGAACACAAAAAAAACTAAAAATTTAAAAAAAGAAAAAAAAAAAGTTCTACCCTTGGGGGTGAAATATTTTCTTCAAATTCGCATGAAACCACCCTTTTGATAATACCTATTCAACAAAAAAATAATCGTTCAAATTGGTTCATAACACTGGTCAACAAAAAATCAAAATTAAAATGGTGCCGAGATTCTGTTGATAGTTTATTATTAGGTGTGTATTAGTAATAATAAAAATATTTTTCTTTTTTTTTTCCTACGTGTAGTTTTTGATCTACCCTCAGTTTTAAATTTTAGCTTTAATCGGTACTTTGGTTGCACAGTTTGTAATGTTATCGGTATATTTTTATAACGAAATTTATTTTAATATCATGTCTGCATTGCCAAGAAGTTGCCTCAACGATCCAAATGTAATTTATTACATTTGTGATGTGTACACAGTTAAGAATTTCAAAAATTTAGACAAAATTTTAATAAAAAGTGCTTATTTTTCTTACTTTAAGTCGGAAATTGTGGTTGTATTCAAGCCGTGGATACCCGAAATTGTTTGTATAATCTGCTGTGAACACTGAGGCAATGTTTCAATGGTCAAAGAAGCCATAACATGAAGTTCAGAGTGGAAAAAGTGAGGAAAAAAACAAAAAAAATCCTGGTTTGAGCATAAAAAAAGGTTAAAGCAGTAAATTTTTGATGGCCCACAAATAAGAATATTAATAAAAGATACTGATTTCTTAAGTTTGATGGACGTTTGGAACGATTTACGTGGACTTATTTCGTTGAAGTTACTAAAATTTTTTTCTAACTACTATGAAATTGTGAGACATGCCCTAAAAACTCAGGATGTAATAACTTTCATCAAAGGGCACTACCTCCACAGTCATCTTGACCAATTCCCAGAGAATCTTGGGTCACTATAGCATGCTATAGCTAAGAACAGGGCGAGCGATGCTATCAAGACCTAAAAACCATTGGAAGAGAGGTACCAAGGCAGATGGGATAGCTATATGATGGCTGATTACTGCTGGAGGATGTAACGTGATAGTTCCATTACACCTCATTCACAAAAGTCGTGGAAAAGAAAGTTTTTAAGCACTTCAAAATATTATAAACGCTGATTTTGGTGAAATTTTGTATTTTTCTATACACGTCAAAATCTAGAAAACCACACGTAGGAAATCAACAAATTTGCTACTAAAGCAACCAGTATAAGGTCCTTAATCAAAAAATATATACAGTTCCTAGGCACCAAAACCACTGTTGACCAGTGAATCGGCGGAGATATTGCGTATAAAAAAGTTCATCCCCAATTTTATAGAATAGAATAGAAAAAAAAAACAAACGGGTCGAATTGAGAACCTCCTCCTTTTTTGAAGGTTGGTTGAAAACACACTTCATTCCGGTCTTATAAACTTAATTAATTTTAAATTACCAGTAAATTAAGATTTTTGGTTGCAATATAACTGAAAAAAGTAGTTTGAGTTGACAAAATAGTGACGTCACTTGCTTGTATTGCCATATTAAATCTAGGGCAGTCTCGTTTTGATAGTTTTAAAACGAACTGATTTTACTAAGGTACACACGACCCCACTGTTAACTATCCACTTCCGTTTTTGCTCTCGCTCTCATCAAATGGTGATTCTTTGCGATAGAACGAGACGACATGACCGGCAATGGGTAGTTAACACTGTTGCCGATAGTACCACAGAATAATAATAAGTATTACGTACAGAAGTTTTATTTCGCGAAGGTATTTAAAAAAATGTATGCTCAATGTCATTAACAATATGGTGTAATTTAGCCTGTCTCAAGAGTCAAGCACCATTTTGTTGGCAAACGTCAGTGATCGGCACTGCGCCGAAGCTATAGGGCTGACTTCGGTAAAATGATGTGACGTGAGGTGCCAAACTGCGGAAAATGGCGGAGGAAATACATGATTTAGCATGAATTATCATGAATAATATTAACTACTTATTTACCTCTCAGTGTCTTGAGGTAACTTAAAATAGTACATTCTGTGTTTTTATTATTATTTAGGCAGTTAAATACTGCACAGTATTTAGTACACCATTTTCTTTATTTTCTTCCATCATACACAAGAATACGCGTGGGTGAGTCAATGTTCGCTCGTATGTGAGGCCTTGTCGAATAGTATCCTGTAGGTGGGCCATCGTGCGTGTTTTGTTTTCGATGTAAACTCGCGGAGATGAACAGGCCTGATAGTACGTAGTTAATATTCCTCTTGTACTCTTACCAAACTTCAGCAGCGGTATCTGGTCAGCGATGAGGTCTTTGAGCTGGGTCAGCAGTTCAGCATGCTCAGGATGCCTCGCTTCATACGAAGGCGTTAAGAACGCGCGCTCGTAGTTCACTATGCCGCCTTGCACGGCCGGGTCGAGTATGCCTGCGTGGAAAAGATAAGTGTTAAAAGAAAGACATTTTATTACAAATACACTTATTACCAGTCTATAATAATGTTGCACCGAGATAATGGTAGGTAGATAAGTTATATTTGAGGCTATTGCAATCGCAATGCTTAGTGCAATAGGACCCCACTACCCAGTAGGGTGTTATGGACCACGATATTGTTTTTCTTCGTCACTACAGTCCTCTCAACTTAAGCTGAGAATTGCATATTTGTGTGAGTGCACACCGATAGTTTAGAGTGGCAATCGGCTTGAAGCGCGGCGCGTCCCGCGCATGGTTTATTATAGCAAGCGGCCTGAAGCGCGGCGCGTCCGCCACGCACCGCTTCCTTGTCGCTTCATACTTCACTTCACCCCCGGTACTGGTAGCAGATACGTGTAATTTTATGTAATTGTGTTCCAAATATTAGTGAAATGGCTCCTACTGTAAGTGAATTTCCTGTACGAAATCCATTAAGCAGCCAAGTGAAAGAAATTTTATGCAAATTGAATACGTATTTTAAAGATGTGAACGAAAAGTTTTTAGTCTGTTTTTATTTTGTAATTTTATAAAGTTTGTCTTTTTGTTGTATTTTGTAAGGCTGGCTGTACGCCCTTTCTATAAANACTTCACCCCCGGTACTGGTAGCAGATACGTGTAATTTTATGTAATTGTGTTCCAAATATTAGTGAAATGGCTTCTACTGTAAGTGAATTTCCTGTACGAAATCCATTAAGCAGCCAAGTGAAAGAAATTTTATGCAAATTGAATACGTACTTTAAAGGTGTGAACGAAAAGTTTTTAGTCTGTTTTTATTTTGTAATTTTATAAAGTTTGTCTTTTTGTTGTATTTTGTAAGGCTGGCTGAACGCCCTCTCTGTAAACGGTGCTCGCAGAATATCAGCGTCGAGGTACTTCGTGCCTTGGCATATGCTGAGCGAGGACCTGTTATTATTTATTTATTTATTTATTTAAAAGGATGTGTCAAGTGTCGTTACATCGGCCCAATTGGTAGCAAGTGTTTTATAGACTTCCTTTTAATAAAACATTAATTTTATTTGTATGTGTTTTACTAACGGTACTTTTGGCGATCACTCACACAAATGCAATTCTCAGCTTAAGTTGATAGGACTGTACCACTTTCAATTCAACAGTAAAAGTTCGTAAGCATGAAAATCCTTTCTAAATATGTAAGTGTAAAACCAATATTCAGCATTACAAACGATAAAGAGTATATTGAGCGCCAGCATGGTACCATTTTCACAAATTTTTAATCTATAGATAGATGATGAAAAATGCTTCACTTGACACTTGACTTGATAGAAGCTACTCGTAGTAGGACTTTGGGCTCATAATTACCAGAGGCAGACTGCAGTGGCGCAACTAATGCGTGCACGCCAAATATCAGTTATTATTATTTAAAAAACAACGCCCTCTCAGAAAGTAAAATCCACATTATTGCAAGAGCCACACTCACCATTCAGCCGCATAGTGAGCGGCTGCAGCGGCGCATCCGGTGCGCGGGCGCTTAGGATCAGCGCTTTAAGCGCGCGGTTGGATTCCCGCAGCGCTTCCACCGCCGCTTCAACTGGAGACACCCAGTATGTACGCTGCTTTACCACGGGGAACCAGCGGAGAATGCCTGGAAAGTTGTAAGGTGTAACGTTATCAACGGCAAATGGAGATCTACATGTGACGTTGACATCGATTTAAAGTCAGATTCTTTAGAAATTTCCCTATATGTAAACAAATATGGCCAACTGACATTAAAACATTTACAATCTGTGCGCTAGTGAGGCGACAAAACCTCTCGTTAATCGCGGATTGAAATTATTGTAGTACTTACGTACCTATAGAAAGAATTTATAATGCTTTATAAAGCAGTGCATTAAACAATTAGTAGTAAATTCAATGAAGAAAAAATACATTGTTGATTAAGACCCTATTTAAATCTATTTAAATGCAATCAGTAATAAAAATGATTGAATAATTGAAATAAAATCGATTAAATTTACCGATTATTGTCTATGACTTACAGGTTACAACACTGATGTGTCAGAGACAACATGGAGATAACACATAATTTTAAACTTCAAGTCAATTTGACAAGTCTCACAAATCTTCAACGTCCACATATTTTGCTAAAATAATTTGTTTAAAGATTGATTCCAAACTTGTATAATCGTGAGAATAAAGTTGGTTTCATGGGCTTGTGAAATAATGTGTATGATATTATGAACACGTAAGTGATTATGGTGTTATTGTGTGCACAAGTGTTTGTTTACATTTGAGGAAATTTCTAAAGAATTTAGGTATACGTACCGAAATGGATTAACATTTTAAAGTGACGTTTAGAATGGAAATCTCAAATCAAATATTTAATTCCAATTTCATTATACAAGTCCGAAAAGATTGCCCTACCACCACTTCGGGACAACATATAGACGGAAGAAACTCAGTTACATTTGTCTTTTAAAACAGTGTTCAACGTGCGGAAAACAATCAATTTCGGTAGTCACACTAAAAATAATACAGAATCCAAAAATTCTTCCACAGCTACTAGAAATTTAAAGTATTTTAGTCGTGAAAAAGAAAAGATTACTGAATTTTAGACTTTTTTAAATTATTTAACTACACTAATATTATAAAGAGGAAAACTTTGTTTGTTTGTTTGGTTGTAAGGAATAGGCTCAAAAACTACTGGACCGTTTTTAAAAATTCTTTCACCATTCAAAAGCTACATTATCCACGAGTAACATTAGGCTAAATTTTATTTTGGAAAAAATAGGGTTCCGTAAAATATGTAGATAATGTAGTCCACGCGCGCGAAGCCGCGGGCGGAAAGCTAGTGACTAAATAAAATTCTAATGATGAAACAGGTCTATAACTTACCAGGTAACTTATCACTAATTTCGAGTTCAGTTCTTTCTAGCCATCTCGTTGCGAACTCGTTTTGACTAGACAAGTCGTCAGACGATCCATTCAGTGACTCTTCTGTAAAAGGAAAAATAATATTTTGGATATGGCAGAATAACAGGGGTTCCATAACAGGGTTTCCTCCAATCTCTTGAGACAGAGATAGTATTTATATCATTGTAACATTCTTGGGGGAATCTTATGCCCAGCAGTCCTGTGTAACTAAAGTATTACTGCTTTTTGATTTGGTTTGATTACACAGTGAGCAGCAAGTATAAATTAAAAATCACATTTATTAAAATTTACGTAATTACAGTCTCTAGAGGTATCACTGTTCTCTAAGATACAGAATCTATCCTAATTTAGAGGACAGGAGCATGCCATTCTACTGGCAGGTACCTACTGTGCTAAAATATTTATGTATTAAGTTCTGTTTATTTACTGTGTACATATTTTTGCTATCGTGAATAAAAAAAATCATTAAATTTATTTACTCACCCGGCCTATGGAAAGGTCTGGAGAACACGAACTTATCCACATTATTATGTTTATAATACATAAGTATCTGGTCGGCCACTGGCTTGCCGGACAGACGCTTCAGCTTGTCGCTCGTCACCGGCTCCACTGCGTTGATTTGGAGGTCTATAGGAGGCTATGGTTAAGGAGATTGTTGATTACAATGTTAGTGGAAGTTAATGTAATGCCATAATAATGTATAGTTATTTTCTGATAAGCAGAAAAAGTAAGATAATATCTTACTTATTATTTTAATTAAATGCAAACTTTGGTTTGTTTTTCCCTGATGATTACGAATGAAAACTGACACAATCAATTTATTTGACATGAATAAACTGGGACTAAATACGATGTAGTTTTTCAGTATCCATTATACAGGCTGTTAGGTAAATGGGTATATGAGCCGACACTAGCCCATGTTAACATGGTCATATAAATGGTATGGTGAAGTCAGAAAATTGATATCTTCATTTTAATTATTTTATTTTTCATACAAACCGGATTTAATAAAATTTATTTTGTATAAAAATTAAAAAAAATAAATTGATGATATCTAATTTTTGACTTTACCATACCATTTATATGCCCATGTTAACATGGGCTAGTGTCGGCTCATATATCCATTTACCTAACACCCTGTATGCAGCCCAGCAGACGTTCTTATCAATCGATTTTATTTCTCTAAAATAACACTCTTCCATGGACTAAAGTTTAATAGAACATGCTTTAGTATTGCTTTTTTGTGCTAATATGTTACGCAGTTTACGTAGTTTCGGGTCTATCTATCATAGTCACTATTACTAACATCTAATTTGTTGCAAGAGGGGTGGAAACATTTGAAACTTCGGATATTTTTTAGGTTTCTGCTACGAGGTTGTGACATATGCGATACTAGTCCTCGCTGCAGACTTTGTGAAACACCAATGAAACATTTAAACTTTCATGGTCACTAACAAAATTATTATTACCCGCAAGTTTCTTCAGTTACTCCGTGACCATGGCGCTTGCAACAGTGCCGAAATATCGGAAACTCAAAATTAAGGTACACACGCCCACACTGTTAACTATCCATTTCCGTTTTTGCTCTCGCTTTCATCAAATGATGATTCTTTGCGATAGAACGAGACGACATGACAGGCAATGGATACTTAACACTGTTGACGATGGTACGTGGTAGCAATCCAAAGTAATAATTATTTTTTTCTTTCTCTCTTTCAAAGGATACACTGTCCGTCCGAGTGCACGACGTCATCGCCCGGCGGGTCAAGCTTCATCAGCACGTCTGCATCAGGCCACTCGTCCAAACAGCGCTCCTTGAACTCCGCCAGTTGCTCGTACTCGTTGCCTCGGTATACGAAGCCCTGGGAATGATATTAAACTGATCAAAAAATCATTAAAGTTAGCCTTGAAAGAACACGTCCCATCATCAACAACCCTTTACAGTCCACTGCTGGACTATGAACCTCTTCCACTATAGTGGAGGGTTTTGCCATAATTCCCACGCTTGGCAGGGATCTAGGCGTAGAGATCAATCTTTTAGATTGATGTTTTTCAGAGAGCGCTGCTGCCCGTTCTCTGTTTGATGTGTAGTCCCCAAGTCGCCTCTTACCCGCGGGAAGAGTAGGGGTTGGTAACAAATGTCACGTCCCAACCCTACTACTACTGCTCGCCCTGAGCACGTATAACTTTTTCATAAAATAAATTATGTCATGCTCTTAGCACCTACATGGTGAACAGAGACGACCCCATAAATGAGTTGGATGCAGGTCGCTACTAACCGGTCAATATCAAAATCATTGGGGAGGCCTATGTTCAGCAGTGGACGTCCTGTGGCTGAAATGATGAATAAAGAATATGAATCGAGTAAATAAAGGGAAGTGCTTATTTTTGTTTTGTTACAAAGAGTGGTTGCATTTGAGCTACGATATCACTCCCTTTAGGATCAGATAGTGAGTATTGTCAGAATTAGAGTTTTGGGTCCAAGTCATCAGGAATCGAGTGGCTGGGGTCGAGTCTTCAGGAGTCAAGTTATCAGAGTCGTATTGTCGTAGTCAAGTTGCCGAGATTGAGTTGTTGGGAGTAAAGTTGTCTATTATTAACTATTTAATTACGTAATAAGGTATAAACCTGTGTAATTAAAATAAATAAATAAATAATAAATAATTATACAATATTATTCATGATAATTCATGCTAAATCATGTATTTCCTCCGCCATTTTCTGCAGTTTGGCACCTCACGTCACATCATTTTACCGAAGTCAGCCAAAACAAAATGGTGCTTGACTCTTGAGACAAGCTAAATTACACCATATTGTTAATGACATTGAGCATTCATTTTTTTTAATACCTTCGTGAAGTAAAACTTCTGTACGTAGTACTTATTATTATTCTGTGATTATACTCACGTGCGGCTGCGTCAGGTGTTCAGGGAAGCCGCGTCCGTAGTAGACAACTCTGACGCTGAGTTTTTGGCTTGAGTCATCAGGAGTCGAGTTATTGGAGTCAAGTCACCGAGGTCGAGTTTTCAAGAGTAAAGTTGTCTATTATACTCACGTGCGGCTGCGTCAAATGCTCGGGGAAGCCGCGGCCGTAGTACACCACTCGGAAGTATCCCGGATGGTAGCCTAAGGCCTCCTCTTCATTCACACTAAAGCTGAGTTTTGGGCCAGTCATCAGGAGTCGAATGACGGAGTGGAGTCGTCAGTAGTCGAGTTGTCTGGATTAAGTTGTAGGGGTCGAGTTGTCGGGGTCTTTCTTTACTACCAGTAAAGTAACTTTATTCCCGACAACTAAAGCCCAAAGCCCGGTCTGCGAGCACGTAGAATTTTGTCCAATAACCCCAAGCTACCCATCCCTATCGCTCGCGCGTAATTATATTGCTGTCACGACTGTGCGACGGGCGCCGGCAGTGAGTGTGCGAGCGCGACAGCAACATAATTACGCGCGAGCGATAAGGATGGGTAGCTTGGGGTCATTGGACGAAATTATACGTGCTCAGCGACGAGACTTTAACAATGAATAGTCTGCTGTACTTACATGAGGCTGCGTCAGATGCTCAGGGAAGCCGCGTCCGTAGTAAACCACTCGGAAGTACCCCGGGTGGTATCTTGGTGTCCGCAGCATACACCCGTATAACCCGGCCAACTGCCCGTGCAACTCTGCTAGCGGCCCGTAGCCTAAGGCTTCCTCTTCGTACACACTAAAGCTGAGTTTTGGGCCTGAGTCGTCAGGAGTCGAGTCGACAGTAGTCGAATTGTCTGGATTAAGTTGTAGGGGTCGATTTGTCGGGGTTTTTACTTTACTGCCAGTAAAGTAACTTTATTCCCAACAACTAAAGCGTGGTCTACGAGCACGTAGCATTTTGTCCAATGACCCCAAGCTACCCATCCTTATCGCTCGCGCGTAATTATGTTGCTGTCGCGACTGTGCGACGCGCGCCCGCAGTGAGTGTGCGAGCGCGACAGCAATATAAACGCGCGAGCGATAAGGATGGGTAGCTTGGGGTCATTGGACGAAATCCTACCTGCTCGGCGACCAGACTTTGATGAGTATTCTGCTGTACTCACGTGCGGCTGCGTCAGATGTTCAGGGAAGCCGCGGCCGTAGTACACCACTCGGAAGTACCCCGGGTGGTATCTCGGCGTCCGCAGCATGCACCCGTACAGCCCGGCCAACTGCCCGTGCAGTTCTGCTAGCGGCCCGTAGCCTAAGGCTTCCTCTTCGTACACACTGACTAGCTCCTTGACTATCTCGACGGCTATCTCCCATTGCCGACCTCGGTTGAGGAGCTCGGCGATTTCGAGGTAGAGGTATTCCTGGAATAAATGTTTTATATCATTTACGGTTTTTTTTTAGTTTGACAGTAGTTGAGTTGCTTAAACGTTAGCGAAGGGATCAGTGGGTTGTATGAGGATTATCACCCGTCAAAAGGGCGTTTTTTGGAGCTTGTTGATAGAATAAACTAATGTTTTGTCTTTTCAATTATGACATATATACAAGAAATCAAATCAAATTAAGATTTTAGACACTAATACTACGGCTTCCTAGTGTTCCATCGTGAGGAGTGTAGGGCAATATTTCCATTTGCCTGTAAATAGCACATCTTCGCGAAATATCTTTCCACATGTAAGATCCCTATACGTAGAATGCGCGGGCGCTTGGTGCAGCGTAGGGACGGGGACATATCTCTGCTATCTAATCAATCTAATACAGCCCTTATCCTCCCTATGGGCAGCCGTCACACATTCAAACACGCTAATATCACCTGTAGCACCCACACAGTAAGGTGCAATGTATCTTGAACTCGTGCGCGGGCGCTTGGTGCAGCGCAAAGAAGAGTCTTGCTATGTTATCGACCTAATACCGCCCTTATCACTAAGTACCTTAAGCTCTCTATTCATGAAGTGCGCAAGCGCAGTATGGACAGAGGGGTATCGAGGAACTCAGTTTGCTAAAGAACTATTGATACAAGCCAATATAACCCTTATCTCACAGTACCTTAAGCTCCCTATGCGTTGAATGCGCAAGCGCAGTATGGGGTTAGGGCTGCGGCAAACGCGACAGAGGGGTATCGAGGAACTCAATTTTCTAAAGAACTATTATTGACACAAGCCAATACAGCCTTTACCGTGCTACATCGGAAGACCAGTTTCGTGACTAGCCCTTTTGAGCGTGTCACGATAAATGCTGAGCGCAGTTTTTTCTCACCTTTACCTCTTTGTTTTAATAGCCTAAATAATAAGTGTTTTTGTTGGATTTTTTTTCTGTATTGTGTCTTTTTTATTGTGTCAATAAACCTATTCTATTCTATCGCTCAGTACCTTAAGCTCCCTATGCGTAGAGTGCGCAGGCGCGGTGGGAGCGGCTCAGGCGTCCAGGACAACAGCCGCCATACTAATATCACTCGTAGCACCCACACAGTAAGGTGCAATTTACCTTGAGCTCAGGTGCGCGAGGTGTCTCTGCTATCCATCAAGCAAATACCGACCTGGCTCACTGTGTCACAGATGAGACACAGTGACTGTCTGACACTGTCTGCTTAAACCGTCTCGGCCACAGGTCTCGACCAGAAGGGCGCGCAACCCTCATCACGCATTGGTTCCCGCTGAAAACCAGCTTCTCGGCATGACGTTTGTGTCATGTCGCGATTTTTGCTGAGCGCCCGCCTATTCAGCATATGTTTTTATTTATTGTTTGTTATGTTTTTTTATGTACTTACTCTTGCTTTGTGTACCTTAAATGATAATTATGCTGAATAAAGACATTCTTATTCTTATTATTCTTATTCTCTTGTCGCCCAGTACCTTAAGCTCCCTATGCGTAGAATGCGCCGGCGCGGTATGCGGCGAGGGGTGTCGCAAACGCGGCGGCAGCGGCTCGGGAGTCCAGGACAACAGCTTGGCGTGCAGCCGTAGCGCACTAATATCACCTTTAGCACCCACATAATACGGTTCAATATACCTTGAATTCGTGCGCGGGCGCTTGGTGCAGCGTAGAGAAGTATGTCTGCTATCCAATCAATCTAATTTCACCCTTATCGCCCAATACCTTAAGCTCTCTATTCATGAAGTGCGCAAGCGCAGTATGGACAGAGAGGTATCGAGGAACTCAGTTTGCTAAAGGACTATAGACACAAGCCAATATAGCCCTTATCGCCCAGTACCTTATGCTCCCTATGCGTAGAATGCGCAGGCGCGGTATGCGGCGAGGGGTATCGCAGACGCGGTGGGAGCGGCTATAGTAGCTTCTACACAGCGTTTTGGTATACTATGAGTTCTTCGTGTATGTAGTGCTTCAACATGAGACGCGTTAGAAGCAACTCTGCCACGTCACACACCCGAATCAGTATCTTTTGCTATCAGTCTAATATCACCTTTAGCACCTACATAATACGGTTCAAAGTACCTTAAGCTCCCTATGCGTAGAATGCGCCGGCGCGGTATGCGGCGAGAGGTATAGCAGACACGGGCTCGGGCGTCCACGACAGCAACCGACACATCCAAGCACGCTAATGTCACCCGTAGCACCCACACAGTACGGTTCAAAGTTCCTTGAGTTCGTGCGAGGGCGCCTGATGTAGCACAGAGAGATTTCTCTACTATGCTACCAAGCTAATACCGTCCTTATTGCCCAGTACCTTAAGCTCCCTATGCGTAGAATGCGCAGGCGCAGTATGCGGCGAGGGGTGTCGCAGACGCGGTGGCAGCGGCTTGGGCGTCCAGGACAACAGCTTGGCGTGCAGCCGTAGCACACTAATATCACCTTTAGCACCCACATAATACGGTTCAATATACCTTGATTTCCTTGCGCGTGGAAAGCGCGGACGCAGTGTGTGGCGCGAGGAAGTAATCAATCTAATTCCGCCTTTATCGCCCGGTACCTTAAGCTCCCTATGTGTGGAGTGCGCGGGCGCAGTATGCGCAAACTAATATCACCCGTAGCACCCACACAGTTAGGTGCAATGTACCTTGAGCTCGTGCGCAGCGCACATGGGACGCGTTGGAACCAGCTTTGCGACGTCACACACCTGAATCAGTATCTGCTATCCAGTCGGCCTGATCATCACTTACCATCAGGTGAGATACAGGCCAAGAGCTTCCTCGTTGTGAATAAAAAAAAAGAAAAAAAGTCAATCTAATATCACCCCTATCGCCCAGTACCTTATGCTCCCTATGCGTAGAATGCGCAGGCGCGGTATGCGGCGAGGGTTGCCGCAAACGCGACAGAGGGTTATCGAGGAACTCAGTTTGCTAAAGAACTATTGACACAAGCCAATATAGCCCTTATCTTACAGTACCTTAAGCTCCCTATGCGTTGAATGCGCAAGCGCAGTATGGGGTTAGGGCTGCGGCAAACGCGACAGAGGGGTATCGAGGAACTCAATTTTCTAAAGAACTATTATTGACACAAGCCAATACAGCCTTTACCGTGCTACATCGGAAGACCAGTTTCGTGACTAGCCCTTTTGAGCATGTCACAATAAATGCTGAGCGCAGTTTTTTCTCACCGTTACCTCTTTGTTTTAATAGCCTACATAATAAGTGTTTTTGTTGTTTTTTTTTCTGTATTGTGTCTTTTTTGTTGTCAATAAACCTATTCTATTCTATCGCCCAGTACCTTAAGCTCCCTATGCGTAGAGTGCGCAGGCGCAGTATGCGGCGAGGGGTGTCGCAAACGCGACAGAGGGTTATCGAGGAACTCATTTTGCTAAAGAACTATTGACACAAGCCAATACAGCCCTTATCTCACAGTACCTTAAGCTCCCTATGCGTAGAATGCGCCGGCGCGGTATGCGGCGAGGGGTGTCGCAAACGTGGTGGTAGCGGCTCGGGCGTCCAGGACAACAGCTTGGCGTGCAGTCGTAGCGCCAGCCCTGCTTCCGCCCACTGGCCCGCCGAATGGTGCATGTTGGCTAGCTTGTGCACATATCTGTGGAAGTAAATGAATTTTAAAGCCTATTCTCTGTTCGAAACTATTCTCTGTTCGAAAACGTAAGTTTTTTTTTACTCAGCGGCCCTTGGCCTGTATCATATTATTATCTGATGGAAAGTGATAATTAGAGCGCCTTCACATTAGGTCGCTAGTAGTGCGGCAACAGCGCGACTATAGCAGCGCGACAGACGCGCTGCCGATAATTTCATACTATGTGGCAGCGGATGCCAGCCTTCACATTATATAAAATCAAAATCAAAATCAAAAATATTTATTCAGTTTAGACCACAAGTGGCACTTATGAACGTCAATAGAAAATAATAAAAAAAGAAAAGGTAACCCTTATGGGGCACTTTACATGTCTCCTTATCTTTTGGGCCCTATTAAAAGTATTTATTTGGTACTAAATGATACACATTTTCTGTTCCATTTCAACTTTCAGTGCAAGCAACTCTCAATGGATGCCAGCGGTCGTTGTGGAAAACTTTGTCCAGCATTTAACACCTATTATTTGAAATAAACGAACATTAAAGCTATAACTCACCGTATGTACATGTGCGGTCGCTCGATTTGCTCATAAAAGTGCAACACTCTAGTAGTGAGGTGCATGCGGTGCGGCGTGGCGGAACGCACAGCGGCCGCGCGGTACTGAAGTAGTGTGTCTAGTTGACGCGCTCCTGCCGCCACCTGGAATAACAGTTAAGGCCTATTCAAACCTGAGCGATATTCGCTGCCGCTGTGGGTAGAGGTACATACCGCGCGGGTTTCGCTCAGGTATTTATTTAGTATCAAGTACCGCGGCTAGAGCGTTTTCTCTGCCGCAGACGGTAACGAATACTGTACGGGCAAGCCATATCGTACATTGCACTTACTTTTACGCTTACGTTTGCGTCCTACTTTTTGGGCGCGCGTTAGTTACTATTGTAGGGACACATGTAGTATGAAAGGGGTATGTCAGCGATTTTGAATGCTTGTGTGACGTGTGAATCAAAGAGTCGGCCAGTTACTGCGCACTGACCGGCTCGGGCAAACGTGTTAGCTTTGGGAAATTTAAGTAAATAAAATTGAGTTTCTATTGGTCGGTATATTCGTATTTCATTGAAGGTCAGTGGCAGTAACTCCCAGGATAGCTAGGATCCTCACACTTTACCAACTTGAGTTAACTTTGAGTCAGATAAATTAACATTCTTATACAGACACTAAATAGGTACACTTACACGAGTTTATAGAATAGGTTACGATAAAAACCTACACTATTTTAAGTATTTTTCTTCATTATAACTCAGTACGTCAACAACCATCCCACGTAATACTACTACTCAAGAAAAGATTTGCCACGATAACTCTGTCAGTATTTTACTACAATATAAACTTTAAACTTTGGAGATCTTTTTTTCGCGACGTTCTCTTCAACTCTACTTCAACTAACTTCAACTCTACTTAGATAAATGTATGGCCCTACAAACCATACAAATACCGCTTAGGTCTGAACAGTATTATTACCGCATACCCACTGGGTTTTCTCTGCCGCAGACGGTAGCGAATACCGCTTAGGTCTGAATAGGCCTTTATAGTCATCATCATGAGGTCAATTACGCCCGTATTCACAAACATCACTATAAGGTCTCACAGTGCTGCAGTGCACGTAGACGCACAGGGTGACACACAAACTAATCACAGAGCTCTATTCAACGCTGAGCGTTCGATTTGCTGCTTCACTTTACAGAATGTACTTTTTTGAGTTGCCTCAAGACACTGAGAGGTAAATAAGTAGTTATTATTATTCATGACAATTCATGCTAAATCATGTATTTCCTCCGCCATTTTCCGCAGTTTGGCACCTCACGTCACATCATTTTACCGAAGTCAGCCCTATAGCTTCGGCGCAGTGCCGATCACTGACGTTTGTCAACAAAATGGTGCTTGACTCTTGAGACAGTCTAAATTACACCATATTGTTAATGACATTGAGCATATTTTTTTTTAAATACCTTCGCGAAGTAAAACTTCTGTACGTAGTACTTATTATTATTCTGTGCCTATACTCCCTTTGCTGGCCGCTCTTGAACAAAAGGGTTGGGATGATATGCAAGATATTTGGCTATTAATGGGTGCGAATACCGATAAAACGTGTGCGTGCTGTTACTTCCCTCTGATGTATACAAAACCCCTGATGCCCAGAAAATCCTGCGGCATCAGCATTTTTGCCCGAGTTCTTCGCTACCACTCGTGCGTGACGGCTGCCTTTTTCAAATCAAACCAGTGTATTTCTTTTAGCAGTAATAATTATCCTTTTTTAAAAAGACTACATCAAAGCCCAGCCTAACAGTGCGCACGTTTTCTCTACGTGGTTTGAATTTGTTTTAGGTAACCGATAGTTTACTCGCATCTTTATTCTGCTGTCAGGAATAGTATATTTAAAAAACTCATTTTTCATTCTCTCTATTGCTGCTCTTTCCCGAACACTGTAATCCGAGCCCCTTTCTGGTAAGAGTGAATAGGCTTTTACAGGGCAAGTTTGTACGTACAACCAGGCCTGTTCATCTCACCGAGTTTACATCGAAAACAAAACACGCACGATGGCCCACCTACAGGATACTATTCGACAAGGCCTCACATACGAGCGAACATTGACTCACGCACGCGTATTCTTGTGTATGATGGAAGAAAATAAAGAAAATGGTGTACTAAATACTGTGCAGTATTTAACTGCCTAAATAATAATAAAAACACAGAATGTACTTTTTTAAGTTGCCTCAAGACACTGAGAGGTAAATAAGTAGTTAATATTATTCATGATAATTCATGCTAAATCATGTATTTCCTCCGCCATTTTCCGCAGTTTGGCACCTCACGTCACATCATTTTACCGAAGTCAGCCCTATAGCTTCGGCGCAGTGCCGATCACTGACGTTTGTCAACAAAATGGTGCTTGACTCTTGAGACAGTCTAAATTACACCATATTGTTAATGACATTGAGCATAATTTTTTTTTAAATACCTTCGCGAAGTAAAACTTCTGTACGTAGTACTTATTATTATTCTGTGCCTATACTCCCTTTGCTGGCCGCTCCTGAACAAAAGGGTTGGGATGATATGCAAGATATTTGGCTATTAATGGGTGCGAATACCGATAAAACGTGTGCGTGCGCACTTTTTCTTTACGTGGTTTCAATTTGTTTTAGGTAACCGATAGTTCACGCACATGTTTATTTTGCTGTCATGAATAGTATGTTTAGAAAACTCATTTCTCACTCTCTCTATTGCTGCTTTTTTCCGAACACTGTAATCTGAGCTCTTCCAGCTTTTATAGGACAGGTATGTTGCATCTTTCTAACATCAGATATGATTGCGAGTCAGGTACTCGTTTCGCATTTTAGAATTCCGAACCTAAAGGGTAAAAACGGGACTTCGCTGTCTGTCATCGAGTTGTATCTCAGGAACCGTGATAACTGGACGCTAAATTTTTAACTTACCAGTGCCGCAGCGGCTACCCGCAGCGGGCCGGCGGCTGCGCCGCACAGCGCGCCGCATAGTGACACGAAACGTGCCCGCCACTGAGAATCCCCACGCCCACTCTCGACTAAGACGTCTAGTTTGTCAATCAGCTCGCTCTCTAGGTCTTTTAGGAGGCCTTCTGTTGAAGAAAGAATTAAGGTTTTGTTCAAATATATTCGCATTCCTATGTGACTTTTGTTTGATACTGTGGAGAGACCAGGCTCAGATAAATGAGCATATCAAAGATTTTTAGCGCTTAATTAGTTGTGTAGTTCTGCACATATTTGTGTAAATAATATTTGTGCAATTTTGTGTATCACAAAACGGCAAATCAGATATCACTAAACAGGATGCTAGAGATATCTCTTTTCAAGCACACTCTTTTCAAGAGTCAGAACTTTTGTCTGGTGCCCGAATTTTTTTTTAAAGAATTTTTTTATTAGTTCCTTTAACCCCTTGAACTAAGCTAAATATGCTTGTGTTACGAGTGGGTTCATCACAACATTCGAGCAGCGGCGGGATTTTAACCTGCGTTCCTGGAATGTCAAGTGGACCAGTCCGACCCCTTCACCGTTCAGCTATGGTGGCTACTGTGCTAACATTGCTTAGTTTGTGACTACAAGCAGGCCTGTTCATCTCCGCGAGTTTACATCGAAAACAAAACACGCACGATGGCCCACCTACAGGATACTATTCGACAAGGCCTCACATACGAGCGAACATTGACTCACGCACGCGTATTCTTGTGCATGATGGAACAAAATAAAGAAAATGGTGTACTAAATACTGTGCAGTATTTAACTGCCTAAATAATAATAAAAACACAGAATGTACTTTTTTAAGTTGCCTCAAGACACTGAGAGGTAAATAAGTAGTTAATATTATTCATGATAATCCATGCTAAATCATGTATTTCCTCCGCCATTTTCCGCAGTTTGGCACCTCACGTCACATCATATTACCGAAGTCAGCCCTATAGCTTCGGCGCAGTGCCGATCACTGACGTTTGCCAACAAAATGGTGCTTGACTCTTGAGACAGGCTAAATTACACCATATTGTTAATGACATTGAGCATACATTTTTTTAAATACCTTCGCGAAGTAAAACTTCTGTACGTAGTACTTATTATTATTCTGTGACTACAAGTTTAAGGTGCATTGTATAGATTCCACTCACCACTTTCCCCGCTAGCCACGCTGTGCATATACTCCGTCTGCATCATGTCGAAGAACAGCGGTATGGTCGTGTTGCGGACCTCCTCGTCTCGGAGGAAGCTCACTTCCAGGAACGGGCCCACCAGGCACGGGATGAAGGAGCGCTTGTGCTCGCCTGTAATGAAAGTTCGATGAGATAACGAATTTAGTTCAGCGGTAAGAAGATATTTCATTGAAAGAGCACAATGGCCCAATCAAGAGTTTAAGTACGCGTACGGTTTCGATTGCCCTGCTAATTATGCAGTACCTGGAAGTCTTTAAATAGACTTCGGACGCAGGTCGGCCGTAGTAAGGACAATCTTTTCAGGTGGGGATTCTTGGATGGCTCAAACTTGGAGTGCAAGTGTGGTTTTGTTCCCCAGTCAACGAAGCATATGATATCGTGCCCTTTCGTGCCCAAACAACAGCACGCAGAAAGATTTAATGAAGGCTACTGACAACGCCATTCTTGTGGCGGAGTTTTGGGCTGACGCTGTGTGGATTTGTTGTCGACACGACAAAAAGAAGATGCAGTACCATTTGATAAAGTGGTTAAGTAAGCAAAATAAAGCAAAATAAAAACGATACCCCAGTAAAGTCTATCTCAAGATACTGTTCAATTAGCCAAGCCGCTGCAAAGCTGTGAACCATTCATTGCTCTATTGACTCACCTAGACCAAACCACATCTCGCTCAACATCGAAGCGACGTGTCTCCGTATGTCTCCATATAGTCCCGTCACTCGCTGCTTCCTTGCCGGTGGGAGTGTCTCCAGTTGTAACACTGGTGACGTAGCCAAAGCGCTGCAAGCCGTGAACCATTCCCGCCACATCTCATGCTACTATCTGTCCATATTTCAACTTACCTAGAACAAACCACATCTCGCTCAACATTGAAGCGACGTGTCTCCATATAGCCCCGTCACACGCTGCTTCCTGGCCGGTGGAAGTCTCCAGTTGTAACACAGGGGAGGTAGCCAAAGCGCTGCAAGTTATAGACTACCCATTCCTTTATAGACTTACCTAGCCCAAACCACATCTCGCTCAGCATCGAAGCGACGTGTCTCCGTATGTCTCCATATAATCCCGTCACTCGTTGCTTCCGGGCCGGTGGGAGCGTCTCCAGTTGTAACACAGGTGACGTAGCCAGGGCACTGCAAGCCGTGAACCATTCCCGCCACATCTCGTGGATGCCGCTAACGGCTTCTGTGTCTAGCTCGTCTACAGCGGCTAGACGATCTCGGAGGGTCGTTGCTAGTAATCTGTAAGAAAAATAGACTTTGATTAATCTTAGTTTTGGTTTAAAGTCGAGCGTATATCCGACATAATATTTAAGGCATAATAATAGCACTTCAGCCAAAGGGAGAGGCCCTTGTACAGCAGTAGACGTCATTTGGCTGAAACGAACGAACGAACGAATAGCACTTATGAACACGACATAAGATACCACATCATTTTAGTTGATGTGCTCATATGGGTGCTCGATTATTTTATAAAATCACGTATTACCTATGCAATATCTTTTTTCAAATATACATGCGGTTTTCCTGCACACTGCACTTAATATAATTAATCTAGTCCGATTGCTTATTAAGGCATATCAGAATTTTCATTTATACTTCCTGTAATATTCGTTTATACTAACTACTTATGTATTGGGTCTTAAATAGGTCTTGCTATTAATTGGCGTGTACGCTTGTAACTACGTTCGTCCATTTTAGCCAAATGACGTCTACTACTGTACAAAGGGAATCCTTGGGCCTCCCCCAACGGCCGGTCCTGCGCTGCCCGGATCTAGGAGTTTCCCGCGAATTTGTTGTGTATTTCCCGCGACCTAATTGTGTTATCCCGCGACCGTGTTGTGTATTTCTTGCGACCGTGTTGTGTATATTCCGCAACCTTGTTGTGTATTTCCCGCGGCATTGTTGTAGATTTCTCGCGCCTTGTTATGTATTTCCCGCGACCTTGTTGTGTGTTTCCCGCGACCTTGTTGTGTGTTTCCCGCGACTTTGATGTGTTTTTCCCGCGACCTTGTCATGTGTTTCCCGTTACCTAGTTGTGTATTTCCCGCGACATTGCTGTACATTTCCCGCAACTTTGTTGTGTATTTCCCGCGACCTTGTTAAGTATTTCCCGCCACATTGTCGTGTATTTCCCGCGACTTTGTCATATATTTCCCGCGACCTAGTTGTTTATTACCCGTGACCTTGTTGTGATTTTCTCGCGACCTAGTTGTGTATTTCCCGCGACCTTGTCCTGTGTTTCCCGCGACCTCGTGTCGTGTACCTGAGCGCGTGCAGCATGGCTGTGTGCTGCAGGTGCAGCATGGCGGCCCAGTGCGACCTTGTACATTCCCCGCGACCTTGTACATTCCCCGCGACCTTGTACCTGAGCGCCTGCAGCATGGCCGTGTGCTGTAGATGCAGCATGGCGGCCCAGTGCGCGCGGAACACGGGCCGCCGCAGCAGCTCCGTGAGCAGCGCCAGCGCGTCGCCGACGAGGCAGCGGGCCGCGGACGGGTGCTCGGCTTGGTATCCTTCCCGCGACCTTGTACATTCCCCGCGACCTTGTACCTGAGCGCCTGCAGCATGGCCGTGTGCTGTAGATGCAGCATGGCGGCCCAGTGCGCGCGGAACACGGGCCGCCGCAGCAGCTCCGTGAGCAGCGCCAGCGCGTCGCCGACGAGGCAGCGGGCCGCGGACGGGTGCTCGGCTTGGTATCCTTCCCGCGACCTTGTACATTCCCCGCGACCTTGTACCTGAGCGCCTGCAGCATGGCCGTGTGCTGTAGATGCAGCATGGCGGCCCAGTGCGCGCGGAACACGGGCCGCCGCAGCAGCTCCGTGAGCAGCGCCAGCGCGTCGCCGACGAGGCAGCGGGCCGCGGACGGGTGCTCGGCTTGGTATCCTTCCCGCGACCTTGTACATTCCCCGCGACCTTGTACCTGAGCGCCTGCAGCATGGCCGTGTGCTGTAGATGCAGCATGGCGGCCCAGTGCGCGCGGAACACGGGCCGCCGCAGCAGCTCCGTGAGCAGCGCCAGCGCGTCGCCGACGAGGCAGCGGGCCGCGGACGGGTGCTCGGCTTGGTATCCTTCCCGCGACCTTGTACATTCCCCGCGACCTTGTACCTGAGCGCCTGCAGCATGGCCGTGTGCTGTAGATGCAGCATGGCGGCCCAGTGCGCGCGGAACACGGGCCGCCGCAGCAGCTCCGTGAGCAGCGCCAGCGCGTCGCCGACGAGGCAGCGGGCCGCGGACGGGTGCTCGGCTTGGTATCCTTCCCGCGACCTTGTACATTCCCCGCGACCTTGTACCTGAGCGCCTGCAGCATGGCCGTGTGCTGTAGATGCAGCATGGCGGCCCAGTGCGCGCGGAACACGGGCCGCCGCAGCAGCTCCGTGAGCAGCGCCAGCGCGTCGCCGACGAGGCAGCGGGCCGCGGACGGGTGCTCGGCTTGGTATCCTTCCCGCGACCTTGTACATTCCCCGCGACCTTGTACCTGAGCGCCTGCAGCATGGCCGTGTGCTGTAGATGCAGCATGGCGGCCCAGTGCGCGCGGAACACGGGCCGCCGCAGCAGCTCTGTCAGCAGCGCCAGCGCGTCGCCGACGAGGCAGCGGGCCGCGGACGGGTGCTCGGCTTCGAGCGCCTTCACAACCATCGTGTACTGCTCGTCTGACGCCTGCCGGACCATGTCGAGGAGCACGCAGATTATGCGGCGCTGTGGGGAAAAGGTTTGGTCTATAATAACTTGACAAGCTCGTTTTCTAATATTATGTTGCATTTTAATTATAATTAACTTTTAAAAAAAATAAAACCGATTTCAAATGCGTGAACACAAAAAAAAAACAAAAATTAAAAATATTGCGTATAAAAAAGTTCATCCCCAATTTTCCACCCTTGGGGGTGAAATATTTTCTTCAATTTCGCATGAAACCACCCTTTTGATAATACCTATTCTCAAAAATATTTATTCAGTTTAGACCACAAGTGGCACTTATAATTTAATTAATCAGGTTGTCATGTCATGGATGAAATTACACTAAAAACTAATTAAAACAAAAAGGATAGGGAAAATATTCCATTATTCTGTGGTAACGCTAACAAAATTAACGAGTGAATTTTTTATAGACAAATGTAATTCAATATAAAAAAGTAGGGTAAAATATTCCGTTGACCTGTGGCAACACTTACAAAATACAACCGTGATTTTTTTTGAAAATTATTATTTAATTAAAATGAATTGGAAATGTGCTACTTACGGATAAAACATGATCCCATGCACTTTCTTCGTAATTCCAGTAGCATTCTTACATGTTGGAACGGCACAAGACGGCATAATTTAATTATAAAGTGTCAATCTGACGGATATGTAAACAATGCGCGCGCCGGCCATTGACTAATTGCTCTAAAGTCAAATTAGTGCGATTTGGAGTAATTTATATGAATACACATTTACGCCCGTTGACGGTTTCTGGTTTGTTCCGTATTCTGAGTACCTATTCAACAAAAAAATAATCGTTCAAATTGATTTATAATCGGCGGAGATATTGCGTATAAAAATGTTCATCCCCAATTTTCCACCCTTGGGGGTTGTTTTTTCTATTATTAAATTTAAATGGGACCACTGTTGAGGTATTACCTATACGCCGAAAAAAGATTTGTTCAAATCGGTTCATAATTGGCGGAGTTATCGCGTAACAAACATAGAAAAAAAAAAAACATACGGGTCGAATTGAGAACCTCCTCCTTTTTTGAAGTCGGTTGAAAATAGTAAGACGGGTCTTTACGCGACGTTTATTAATGAGTTACATTATATGACAAATGACAATATCAGGGAAGATGAAAATCTTCAAGCCCGCCCAAACGGACGACGCCGCGAACCGCCAGTCTGCTTGTGACCACGGCTGCAGCATCGCAGCCGAAACGTCAAACCGTGAGTACATAATGTAACTCATTAATAAACGTCGCGTTAAGACCCGTCTTACTACGAGTATTTTAATTGAAATGGAACGCGAAAGTTTAAACTCTTATATGTTGCATTTTTTACCATAAAATTATCACTTCACGTTGTGCATTGTGTTCATGTTGCAAAAATCCCGTGAAGTGATAATTTTAAGGCTCGTTTTCTTTCTAAAAGCGGCGGTTCGCGCAACGATTGTAACAGGAGACCGAGACGAGACTGCGTTTCTTGACTTAGCTCTGTCTCGCTCGCGAACTGTCGCGGTCAAGTAACGGTCGCGGTCTCCCGTCTCGATCTTGTGTCTCGGTCTCCTGTCTTTGTCGCGGTGCGAACCGCCGCCTTTACATATACAAAAGATTTCAAAAGGTTCGTTCATTCGTTTCAGTTAAATGACGTCCACTGCTGGACAAAGGCCTCCCCAAAGATTTCCGTAACGACCGGTCCCGCGCTGCCCGCATCCAGGTTCTTTCGATGACCTTCGCCAGATCATTGGTCCACCTATCTTTCCCAAATCCGGGCGTTTTTAAGGTGCGATTGCGGTCAAATACTTGTGTACACACCCCAGGTCCAGTCGAGGGAATGCTAGGCTAAATAAAAGCCAACTTCGCAAACAACGGTATATTGTTCCAAAGATAGTCGATTTCATACAAACAGATTTTACTATATAAAGGGCCCTCCGAATACTTCACTTGCGAGAGCTAAGTAAGCACAGCGCCATCTATTGGTAGTTTTACGAACTTTGTTCTTGCAAACACTTGTACATTAACTGCCCGCCAAGGACAAATTGATATAATTGTCCTTATAAAAGAAATTTAAAAAAAATACCTTGTCAAAATGTCGCGCTAAAATAGAATTTATCTTTGCTGGGCTTACAAAATAAAACAATTATTACAAAGTAATATAAACTGAAAAACTAAAAAACAAGTTTAAAATTTAAACAGAAAACTTAAATAATAAATGTAAGTTCAATCACTTACAGGTAAAACACATATTTTATTTGTAGGGCGTTTTATCAAAGAGTTTTTGCTCTTTACTGTGACCACCCTCGTAATTCCATCTTGACCTGGATGTTCATCCACAATTTTACCATAAAACCATCTGCATGGCGGAAGACCATCCTCTTTAATCAACACTATGTCTCCTACTTTAGGTTGTGGGGCTTGTGTGGCCCATTTATATCTGTGGAAGAATTGGTTCAAATATTCTTTAGACCACTTACGCCAGAATTCTTGAGTCATACGTTGAGTGTACTGCCATCGTCTAAGTGAGCTTATATTTGAGTTCTCGTAATTTCGATCTGGTGCTGTGACTAGAGGTTCACCCACAAGAAAATGTCCTGGAGTTAACACTTCATTTTCCTGATCTCCGTCCAGCTTAGATAAAGGCCTCGAATTTAGGCAAGCTTCGACCTGTACTAACACCGTCGACATTTCTTCGTATGTCAAGGTAGAATTGCCAATGACTCGTTTGAGGTGGAACTTAACGGATTTAATTCCAGCCTCCCATAGTCCACCGAAGTTGGGCGCGTGAGGTGGGATAAAATGCCAGGTTGTATTGTTGTTGGCCAATTGTTCAGCTATTTCTGGAAGGATACTGTCTTTCTCATTGGAGAAGAGCTTTTGTATTTCTGCTGCTGCTCCCACAAAGTTCGTGCCATTGTCACTCCAAATATCTGAGCAAGGACCTCTACGGGCGACGAATCTTTTAAAAGCTTGAAGAAAGCCATGTGATGTAAGTTCGCTGACCGCCTCCACATGTACGGCTTTGGTCGCCATACATACGAACAAACATATGTATCCTTTATAGGACTTATAACCCCGACCCCTTGTAGTGCGGATTTGGATCGGACCTGCAAAGTCCACTCCACTTCGTAAAAAAGGACGAGCTGGTGTGACCCTCACTGCAGGTAGCTGTCCCATTAATTGTTGATAAGTCTGACCTTTATTCTTCACGCAATCAACACATTTTCTCACATGGGTTTTAACTAATTGTTTAGCTCCAATAATGTAGTACTTGTTCTGTAAGTAATTCAATGTTAACTGCGGTCCGCCATGTAACGTCTGATGATGAGCGTCTGCAATCAGCAAGGCCGTGAGTTTAGAGCTCTTTGCCATGACAATTGGATGCTTACGTTGTTGTTGTTGTTGTTTCAGCCGAAAGACGTCCACTGCTGGACAAAGGCCTCCCCCAAGGATTTCCACAAAGACCGGTCCTGCGCCGCTTGCATCCAGGTACTTCCCGCGACCTTCACCAGATCGTCGGTCCACCTAGTGGGAGGCCTGCCCACGCTACGTCTTCCAGCTCGTGGTCGCCACTCAAGAACTTTTCTGCCCCAGCGGCCATCAGCTCTTCGAGCTATGTGCCCCGCCCACTGCCACTTGATTTTAGCGATTCTGCGGGCTATGTCAGTCACTCTGGTTCTCCTACGGATCTCCTCATTTCTGATTCGATCACGCAGGGAAACTCCGAGCATAGCACGACACGGATGCTTACGACTTGATACCATATGAGATTTTTCTAATCTCCCACCGACTCTTAGTAAATTTGTTTCATCTATAAATGGATTTAGAGATTTTAATGAATTGTTTTTAATTGGAATATTCTTTTTTATAGCTTCAATTTCTTCTTCAAATTTAATTTTTTGATCTCTTATTATGCAAACTTCTAACGCCTTTTCCATTTCCTTTGTAGTTAAATACTCATTGTCTTTTCTTTCAGATTTCGGCTTCTTCATTTGTAAAAATCTTCGACAGTATGCTGTTACTCTTATTAATCTTCTCAGTTTCGAAAATCTTTCGAAGAAATCTTCTTCAGTTGTTATGTTGTGAACTTTGATGGCTTCTATTTCGGTTGTTAATTCTGTAGGTTTTTTGTAATTTATATTTTTAGTCATCAAAAACTCCGGACCATTTAACCACAGTGATTTATTTTTCAGCTCTGAAGGTGTAACTCCCCTGGATGCGTAGTCTGCTGGATTTTCCTGAGTACTTACGTGTGACCACTGATTAGGATTTAAGTTGGTAAGTATTTCAGAGACGCGATTGGCTACAAATACCTTCCATCGGCTGGGCAAGCTGTTTAACCAGGCTAAAACTATTGTGGAATCCGTCCATGCATGCAGGTTTGTATGTTCAATATTTAGAACCTTAGACGTCTCCAGCATTAATCGTGTAAGCTCTACAGCTCCGCATAATTCCAGCCTTGGTATAGATACTTGTTTGATAGGTGCCACTTTAGATTTTGCTGTTACCAACGACACATGGATATTCCCTTCCGCATCAATAGTTCGGATGTATACCACAGCGGCGTATGCTACCTTCGAGGCGTCGCAGAACCCATGGAGTTCCCTCTTGACGTCATTTAATCTCGTTCCAAGCCATCTAGGAATCTTCACTTCGCTTATGCTTTTCAGGTCTTCCCGGTAAGTACACCATTCCTGCAGTATTTTACTAGGTGCTTCATCATCCCAATCAATCCCCGCTATCCACAACTTTTGTATCAACACCTTTGCTATGATTATACATGGTGTAACCCAACCTAAGGGATCGAATAGGCGTGATATATCTGCTATTATTTTTCTTTTAGTAATAGGTGGTAGCAGTTCTGGAAGATCAACTTTATATCGGAAATGATCACTGTGCCGTTCCCAGGTAAGTCCCAAAATTTTTATTACTTCATCCATTTTTATTGTTATCCCATCCTTACATTCCTCTTTTTCCTTCCCGTTTTCCTGTTCATTTTCCCTGCTCTTAATCATTTTTAACAATTCTTCGTCATTACTCGCCCACTTCTGTAATCTGAATCCCGCTTTATTTAGTAAACTTTTCATTTGTGTATATAATTCTATTCCTTCTGTTACAGATTCACAACCGCTCATCATGTCATCCATGTAGAAGTTTTCTCTAACTTTATCCACAGCTAAAGGATAATTAAGACCTTCATCCTTTGCCACTTGTTGAAGCGTTCGAACTGCTAAAAATGGAGCTGAAGCAGTACCGAAAGTCACTCTAACAAGTTTGAAATCTCTGATTGCCTCATTAGGGTTATTTCTCCATACCAATCTTTGAAAGTTAGTGTCATCTTCGTGTACCTTTATTTGTCGATACATTTTAACAATATCTGCTGTAAGACAAATGTACGACAATCTCCACTTCATCACTAAATGTCTCAAGTCTGGCTGAATGGTTGGTCCCACCATGAGGTTTTCATTCAGTGATACCCCATTTTTTCCTACCTGAGAGGCATTAAATACTACTCTGAGCTTAGTAGTATCCTTGTCCTCTCGAACAACTGCGTGGTGTGGTAAATATACTGATTCTTCTCTTTCCAAGTCTGGTTCCAGTACTTCGATCATGTGTCCCATTTCCAAATACTCATTTATTACAGCCTTATAACTTTCTTTGAATTTGTTATCTTTTTCGAATCTTTTTTCCAGCCCTTTTAATCTTTGCACAGCTATACTTCTCGTCTCTCCTCTTTTGCACTCTGGGTTTTCTGTCTTAAAAGGCAATTTCACGATGTACCTTCCTTCTTTATCTCTAGTAGTTGTTTTAACATAAAATTCTTCACATTTTCTTTCTTCTTCTGTGTACTTTTGTTCCTTTGTGAGACTCATGCTATTTTCCAACTCCCAAAACTTTTTCAACAGTTCATCGCTTTCTTGTAACTGGCAATGCAACGATAATGTTTCTGCGTTTTGATAATTTGGTAGTTTCACCGTTCCCGATAAAATCCAACCCAAGCTCGTGGATTGAGCGAGGAGCGTTCCGTTTGATCCCTTTCGTATACCTTCTTGGATTATCTGACTAAATACTTCCGCACCCAATAATATGTCTATTTTATTGGGTCGGTTGTATTCCGGGTCAGCGAGTTCTATGCCTTGGAATTCTGAGTAATCTAATTGATCTATTTTCCTACTAGGGAGGAAAGAAGTAATAGATTTCAGAACGTACGCATTCACTGTGACACTCCAATTAGGGTCTAACCTAGATTTAACCTTTATGGTCACTTTCGCTTTTGAGACTAATCCTTTATCTCCACCCACTCCCAAAATCTTACCATGAATTGGTGTTTTTCTCAATTTCAAATCATTTACAGCCGATTCTGTAACGAAGTTTCCTTGAGAGCCTTGATCTAATAAGGCTCTCAACATGTAGTTGTTCCCATTTCTCGACTCAGTATTGATTAGCGCCGTCGCTAACAATACTTGTTTTACATTACCTGTCGAGACGTTACATGAAACCACAGTTGATGTTTTATTTGATTTACCTGCCTCATAAGGCCCCTTTGGTGGACTATCTTTTCCCTCTGACTCAACCTTAACAACATTAGACTGCGCGTTCTCTGCATTTTTTGGATGTAGTAGTGTGTGATGTTTACGATGGCATATTTTACACTTTTGACTAACGAGACAAGCCTTCGCACCATGATTTGAACCTAAACAATTGTAACACAAACTGTTTGATTGAATGAAATTACGACGATGGTCCACAGTTTCATTCGAAAATCTCCTACAAGCACTTAACTTGTGAGCCTCTGAACAAAATACACATTGAATTCCAGTAGAAGTATGCATAGCTTTAAATTTTACAATATTATTATTTGCATTGAAATTGTTATGTGACTGATATCTATTTGAAACTACTTTGTTGTCTAAAAACTCTAGTGCTCTGTATCTGTTCGTTAAAAACTCAGTAAATTGTTCGTACTTAGGTAATTCCTCAGATGGAGTACTTTGTGTAATATTAAACTCCCACTTTTTTATCGATTCGGCATCCAGTTTCAAACATAAAATATGTATAATAATTATGTCCCAATTCCTAATGTCTATACCCAAATTAGCTAACCCGCTCAAGCAATCGTTGGTGGTATCAATTAATTCTTTTAAAGCTGTCGCAGATTCGTTTACAATATTCTTTTGGCTAAGCAATCGTTTCAAAATATAATGAGATAAATAGCGCTTATTATCGTACCTCGATTTCAACTGAGCCCAACAACGATCGTAATTAGCTTCAGATATCGGAATCTGCCTAAGTAACTGCTCAGCTTCGCCAGTGAGTGAACTTTTCAAATAGTGCATCTTTTGTACGTTATCTAATTTCGAGTTATTATGAATTAACGAGATAAACAAATCTCGGAATGTGATCCATTCCGTGTATTGCCCAGAAAAATTAGGAATAACAATTTTAGGTAACTTAAATGATTCAGCTTTAAAATAGAATCATGATGTTTCTCACTAACTTCAGTTCTAGCAGATTTTGATTTCGAAGATGACTCTATAGTAGACCTAAGCTCGGTTTTATAATCAGTGTATATCTCCTCTGCTAAATCATAAACATCCTTCTGTGAATATTCATGAGATTTTAATGCGGCACCATATTTTCTAATAAGTGACCTATGATTTTTCGCAAACTCAGCCCATAATTCCTCTAATGACTCCAATCTTGTTTTACAATAAGCCTCTGTTATTCGCTCTTTAGGAGATTTATTATAATTCTTTTTAGCTTTATAAATTTTATCATAAGTATCCACTTGCAAATTAATTTCTGAATCCATATTTAATAATTAATATTATAAACAAATGCAATTAATAAACCTTTAAAATAACGGGGTTTGAAACTCCAGAAACTTAAACTTACACAATCAAACTATAACTTCTATCAAAGACAAGTGTAAAATTTTCTAAGTCTAAAACACATTAAAACTTTACTATGTTAAAAATTACTAAAATATTTCTAAGTGTTTTTTCAATAAAAATCTAACCAAAATCGGGCATAGGTTCCCCGTCGGAACAAATTTTTCTTAAAATTAGCCTAAGTTAATACTAAACATGCACACAAATTTTCAAAGTCCCAATGATCTTCAAATTATAACTAAATCTTCAAAGTTTATTCTTCCAAACAAATAAGGTTCAAATTCGCGTTTCCGATTCACTTCACTACGTATCGTATATTAATAGCACTTCCAAGTTTTTAAAGTTATTTACCACGAAGTTATAGAGTTCAATTTTGCTTGACTCGACCAATATGAAAATAATTCAACACTCACAGTTTTTGTCCTTGTCACTCACTCGCGCGTGACGTCACTGGTCAGTTGTCCTATTCTGGCACCTGAACTGGCTCCTGACGGCACCTCCTCACCAGCATCAGCACCAGCACCGTCCCGAAGTCCAAAGCCGGATTGGCCACCAAGCTCGGACCCCTGCTGCAGCAGCTCCAACTCCTCAGGGTGCTGCTCCTCCAGACAGGCACCACCAGATAGGCACCTCCAGTGCACCACACACCGCCTTAATGCTCCAAAATTCGCGTCACCGTCAGAACGACTTTCCCATCCGGATGAGGTCTGGCACACCTTATCCGGCTCGAAGGACCATGTACACACCCCAGGTCCAGTCGAGGGAATGCTAGGCTAAATAAAAGCCAACTTCGCAAACAACGGTATATTGTTCCAAAGATAGTCGATTTCATACAAACAGATTTTACTATATAAAGGGCCCTCCGAATACTTCACTTGCGAGAGCTAAGTAAGCACAGCGCCATCTATTGGTAGTTTTACGAACTTTGTTCTTGCAAACACTTGTACAACTTGCTTTGCTTTACCTTGTTGTATTACCTTGTCTCAGTGAATAAATGATCTTTTATCTTTTTTATCTTTTTATCTTTTTTTTGTTTTGCATAAAAAACCTGATGGGAGCCTCCCCATACTACGTCTTCCGGCCCGTGCTCCACTGAAGAACTTTTCAGCCCTAACGGCCATCAGCTCTACGAGCTATGTGCCCCGCCCACTGCCACTTGTTCTAGCAATTCTGCGGGCTGCGACAATCACTTTGGTTTTCCTCAAATAACTCACCAGTAGCGGATCATCAGCTGACCCCTGCTCGTCAGTCTTCCTCTCTTTCAGCATCGACGCAGCCGTGGTCAGGGAGTCTCCTGGCCAACTCTCTTCTATCAGCCTCCACTGGACCCACGTGGTCTCTAGCCAGGAGTCCTAGTCTAAATAACTCACCAGTAGCGGATCATCAGCTGACCCCTGCTCGTCAGTCTTCCTCTCTTTCAGCATCGACGCAGCCGTGGTCAGGACGGTCGGCAGGAGTCTCCTGGCCAGCTCTCCCCTGTCAGTTTCCACTGGGCCCACGTCTCTAGCCAGGAGTCCTAGTGTTAATAACTCACCAGTAGCGGATCATCAGCTGACCCCTGGTCATCCGTCTTCCTCTCTTTCAGCATCGACGCGGCCGTGGTCAGGACGGTCGGCAGGAGTCTCCTGGCCAGCTTTCCCCAGTCAGTTTCCACTGGGCCCACGTCTATAGCCAGGAGTCCTAGTGTTTATAACTCACCAGTAGCGGATCATCAGCTGAACCCTGCTCGTCAGTCTTCCGCTCTTTCAGCATCGACGCAGCCGTGGTCAGGACGGTCGGCAGGAGTCTCCTGGCCAACTCTCCTCTATCAGCTTCCACTGGGCCCACGTCGTCTCTAGCCAGGAGGGTCATGACTTCGCCTAGCGCTTCCACGCAGAGCTCCACCTGGATTTAGATTGTATTTCAATAGCAGTACAGTTGAGGTTTGAGTGATCTGTGATTTGGTGCATCAAGGTTTATGTCTAGGTGAATGTGTGTTTGTTTAGAAGAAGAATCGACAGTGGCATTTTACATGATACAAATATTTCCTAAGAGGAGAAAACCTTAATTTATTCCTTTCTGTACTCAAATGATTTTTGTTGATTGTTGTGGAGTTACCTAAATGCGGAATAAGCGGTATGGTACATAGGCTGTTTATTCTAAGCACTAACCTTATACGCCTCGACTCAGCTGCATAAAAATGTTTGCGATTAGTAATAAATACTGTACAGCGAATTTTCCATGATATAAAGTAGATGCGTTTTCACCATGGCAATACAATATGGCAAAAAAATGCAACTATTGATGTCATAGAATGTCATTAATAAATATACTTTCGTTTAGCAAATGACTGAATACATATTGGTGAAGTATCATAGACACGGCAGCGAATTCCATGTTTATACAGGGTGGAAACGTTAAGTGATCTCACTCGATTATTTCTAAACTATACAAGATATCGAAAAATTGATTACTGATTCTGAAAGTGCTTCACAAGCTCTTTCAAACGGTACCAATAATAGGTTACAGAATAAACTGGATCAATCCAAAAATTCAATGTTTCCAGCTTCCATACATTTAGTAAAACCACATAATATTAAAAACTATACAAGATATCCAAAAACTGGTAACTTATCCTAAAAGTGCTTCACGAGCTCTATCCAACGGTACCAATAATAAGTTAAAAAAACTGGATCTATCCGAAAATCCAATGTTTCCAGCTTCCATACATTTAGTACTGCCACAGTCATGGCACGCATGTCTTGATAATATTATAGCAAGTAAAGCCTAAAACCAATGTCTTCCATGAATAATTTTAAATTAGAATGCAATTTACGAGTTCATTTTAAGTGTTTATTATTTAAAATAAAAAAAAATAACACTACTAATATTGTGTGGCTGACATAGTGGCATACATTTAGTATGGAAGCTGGAAACATTGAATTTTCGGATAGATCTAGTTAATTATGTAACCTATTACTGATATCGTTTGAAAGAGCTCGTGAAGCACTTTCAGGATCAGTAATCAGTTTTTCGATATCTTGTATAGTTTAGAATTAATCGCGTGAGATCACTTATCGTTTCCACCCTGTATACTCCAAGCGCAAAGCGTTTTGACTCACCTGTAAAACGCTGTAGCATGCTCCATACATTTTTTTTCAACGCCCGAGTTAAGCTTAGTTTTGCTATGCTATACGAGTCGAACGATGTACATAAGACAAGAAAAATGTATTATGTTGCTCTTGCCAGGTTCTTATCTATGAGATATACTTACATGATTTCAGTTCGTCAATGCATAGGATAATAATAGTAAGACTAAACGGAACCCGTCACCTTTCTGACCAGTTGCGAGTAGGCTAAATCCTCAATTTTCCTCTGGTAAAGAGAGAGAATACTCTTTCAGAATGAATGACCTGATGACGTTGATGACAGGGCACATGCAGACTGTATCTAGCTGCGGCTGGGTGTACCAGGCGTACCAGGTGAATGTAGTCCAGCGGGGGTACCAAAGGTCAGTCCAAGGGTACCGTAGTGGATACGTACTATAGTCCGGTCGCCGAGCACATAGAATTTCGTCCAATGACCCCAAGCTACCCATCCTTATCGCTCGCGCGTATTATGCTGTCGCGACTGTGCGACGGGCGACAGCAGTGAGTGTGCGAGCGCGACAGCAATATAATTTCGAAACGAACGAAGACGAAATTCTACGGGCTCGGCGACCAGACTTTAGCTGCTTAGCAAGCGCGCCGCCGGAGCAGTGAAGACTAAATGATCTATTGACGATGTAGTCTGACCACACATGGATTTATCTGAGCACATTATGTAGGAGACCAGTTCCAGCTGGGTGCAGTCAATGAACGCTTGAAGCCAAGTCCAGATCAGTGGATACGTACTAACTGCTTCGCGTGCTGCGTGTCATGTAGCCGGGCCGTGTCGGCGCCGAGCAAGCGCCGCCGGAGCAGTGAAGACTGAATGATCTATTGACGATTTTGTCTGAGCACGTATGGAGAAGACCAGTTGCAGCTGGGTGCAGTCAATGAACGCTTAAGGCCAAGTCCAGATCAGTGGATACGTACTAACTGCTTCGCGTGCTGCGTGTCATGTAGCCGGGCGGTGTCGGCGCCGAGCAAACGCGCCGCCGGACTCCGGAGCAGTGAAGACTGAACGATCTATTGACGATGTAGTCTGACCACACATGGATTTATCTGAGCACATTATGTAGGAGACCAGTTCCAGCTGGGTGCAGTGAATGAACGCTTGAAGCCAAGTCCAGTTCAGTGGATACGTACTAACTGCTTCGCGTGCTGCGTGTCATGTAGCCGGGCGGTGTCGGCGCCGAGCAAACGCGCCGCCGGACTCCGGAGCAGTGAAGACCGAATGATTTGACGATGTAGTCTGACCACACATGGATTTGTCTGAGCACATTATGGAGGAGACCAGTTGCAGCTGGGTGCAGTCAGTGATCGCTTGAAGTCAAGTCCAGATCAGTGGATACGTACTAACTGCTTCGCGTGCTGCATGTCATGTAGCCGGAATGATCTATTGACGATGTAGTCTGACCACACATGGATTTGTCTGAGCACATTATGGAGGAGACCAGTTGCAGCTGGGTGCAGTGAATGAACGCTTGAAGCCAAGTCCAGATCAGTGGATACGTACTAACTGCTTCGCGTGCTGCGTGTCATGTAGCCGAGCCGTGTCGGCGCTGAGCAAGCGCGCCGCCGGAGCAGTGAAGACTGAATGATCTGTTGACGATGTAGTCTGACCACACATGGAGAAGACCAGTTGCAGCTGGGTGCAGTCAGTGAACGCTTGAAGCCAAGTCCAGATCAGTGGATACGTACTAACTGCTTCGCGTGCTGCGTGTCATGTAGTCGGGCGGTGTCGGCGCCGAGCCAACGCGCCGCCGGAGCAGTGAAGACTGAATGATCTATTGACGATGTAGTCTGACCACACATGGATTTATCTGAGCACATTATGTAGGAGACCAGTACCAGCTGGGTGCAGTGAATGAACGCTTGAAGGCAAGTCCAGATCAGTGGATACGTACTAACTGCTTCGCGTGCTGCGTGTCATGTAGCCGGGCGGAGTCGGCGCCGAGCAAGCGCGCCGCCGGAGCAGTGAAGACTTAATGATCTATTGACGATTTTGTCTGAGCACGTATTGGGGAAACCAGTTGCAGCTGGGTGCAGTCAATGAACGCTTGAAGCCAAGTCCAGATCAGTGGATACGTACTAACTGCTTCGCGTGCTGCGTGTCATGTAGCCGGGCGGTGTCGGCGCCGAGTAAGCGCGCCGCCTTGTCGACGGAGCGCGACTTCAGAGCGGCGTCTCGTTCCAACTGCACCGCGCACACAGTCAACCACGACCGAAACGTGGTCTACTCCGAAAGGTTACGATAAACGCTCTATCCGTCTCGCTCTGTCGTATGGCGAGGGATAGAGATATCGAAACCGTTTCGCAGCAGAGCCGGAGGGTATGGTAATGCGCATTTCTTATTGGCAAGCATTCAAGTCTATTTCAAATGTGATGCTATTAACCATTTTCCCATAAACGACATGCACGTTCTAAACTATCGAAATACTCTGATCGTTGGAGATTTCTGTCAATCTCCATTATTCATTTTCATGTTTACATTTAGTAAAAATGTTGCCCTTTTCGTTTAGTATATGACATGACTTCTTGTATTCAAATAAAATATAATATAGTTAAAATATTAATAATAAATACCTACTATAGATACAAGATTTCTAGCACCAATTTAAAGTGGATTAATTGGTCACATTGATACATAATTTAATAGCAAATTTATTGAAAATGCCCATAAAAAATACGCATTATCATAAAGACGTTTCGAAAGTGGTATTATAAGCATACACCAATAGCATAAACTCATCATTACAGAAAAAAATTAAGACTCAAATTGAATTCAATTTAAACAAATAGAACTGTAATGAAAAGTCAAAATCGCAAGATGGCAACTGTCAGTGAACTGTCACTTTGACGGCTGTCATCCCGCAAACGCGTGACATGCAACACATCAAGAGTTTGCACACAATTTAGTTCTCAAGTGACATCTAGTGCTCGCTTGTTTTTATTATTTGAAAACGTCAAAAAACGTTGCATTGTTATTTTGAAAAGAAAAACGACGTTGTCTTTTATTGTTTTATAGGATAAAAATATGTAAACTGAAAATAAAAATACTTAAAAAGTACATATTATACTAAGTAAATATTCTTAAAAATAAATAACATAAAATAATAGAAGAGAAATAATTAGTAAATAATAAGAAGAAACATATGGAGGACATGTGACAGGACAGCACACAGTGATAATTGTATTAGTAAAAAAAGTGATCTCACAAACACACAAAACCAAAAACAAACCACACGAATTTTTACATCCCCTTAAAGTTATTACAACTACATACTCCTTTTTAATGATCTTTTAAAAAAACTCCCATCATTTTTTCTTTTTTTTTATGGAGTATTTTTTTGATCCGATGTTAATTGAGCTATTTTTTACAAACTTTCTAATACCTCGTAGTAAAAACCTACATAAAATCACAAAACACACTACATGCTCACACACATAAAGTGATGTTAGTAAACAATACATATTAATAATGATAAATTCTGACAGAAGAGTGAATTTAGGAAAAAAGGATTGTATTTTTATAGGAATAGGGTGTACTTTGGTGGTTTGAGTTAGAACGATTTGTGTGCATATCTCACGATGCGTGGTGCGGCGTGGACATCATTTTTAGAATACTGAATTGAAGATTTGTCATCTCTTTCCCTCCTTAGTAAATAGATACCTACGAGCAAGATAAATAATTACGTTTGTCTAAATAGATCGGGAATAAAAGTTGTATCGCAAATAGTTGATGAAATGGATTGATAGTTTTTCATTTTGACACCAGTTTTGTCTTTATGTCATTGAAGACAGTAATAATATAATTCATAATTATTATGAATATTGTTCCAATTATTACGAAAAAAACATACGAAGTACCAAAATTCAATTCAGTATTCTATGTAGTAAAATACCTAAACGTTGTTTCTTAAACTTAGGTACTGATGACTTTTAAATCCATTCGCATTGTTCAAAAATAATTGCACTACCTACCTACTATCCAGTTTTGTAATTGAAATACAAACAATATCGTTATTAATTATGACATAATAATAGAATTTATATTATTTGCGTTATTCTAAATACAATTAACAATGCTGAATAGATCTAGAAGTAATTTCTAATTAGTTTTACATTAGTTTTCCTGTTTTTAAAGCAATGCCCACTGAAATGTTAGTTAATTTACTATTACAGGATGCATGTGTGATGATAATTATTTGTATTTTAATTGTTATGAAATAATTAATCAGCAACATAGGTATTGCACCGATTAATTATTTCATAACAACAACATAGGTTGTCAATAATTATGTGTTAAATGACAGGATAATATGTATTGAATGTTAAGGATAAAATGGGGTGTATATTAGGGAATGCATCTTGAACTAAATGATTGTCAGAACATTTCATAAAATAAATCCTCACACATCCATCCTTTCATTAACTAAAGATAAACAAATATTAATATTTTCACTATAATTGGCTATTTACAGTGAAAATATTAAGACCCAATCATTGCCAATACAGATCTGATTAAAACTAAACAAAATAATTTCTGAAAAGCATAAATGCTGTTGTCCAATAAAACGAATATTTTTTGTCTTACATCGATAATTCGCTAACCAATAAAACAATGCTTAAATACATCACTATAAATAAAAATACTTTCGTAATAAACAAAACAATATTTGCGCGATAACAACCTCAGATACAAATATTTTAATCAGATTCCGTATGGTGATTGCGTTAAAACAATTCTATCATCAAGTGCCAGCAGGCGGCATGCATCGGCGTGCGTACTGCGGTGCTTACCTCGCTGCTGCTGCGGCGGCCGGGGACAAACATGTTCAAATAGCTGCGGCGCGAGCGAGCTTCCCGTGAGAAGAGACCTTCCAATTCACTCATCTTGATAGTATTCGTAATATTCCGCCACATAATTCACTAAGCTTATTCACAATATGCACCTTATGCATTACACAAAGTAAAAATCTATCCATTTGAAGAATATACACAGAAACTTTAAACTTTTGAGGAATCCTGGTAATTTCGCTATGTAATCTTTACAAAACACTGTCAGTAGCATTCTACACACTGTTTATTTGATAACGCCACGGCGATTACTCATATGTTTTTGACAAGGTTATAAATAAAATCCAAGCTATTAATGTTCACTTCGAAATCTATACATTTATGGAGATTTGCCAATCGAAAATAAACACACAAAACAACGTGATTGCTATACTGTTACTTTTGTTTTGAAAAGTATTCAGCAAATGCAAAATACATGTGCATCCTCAATAGAGGAAAACCATAATAAAGGGATATATTTCCGGATGTTAGAAGTAATTCCCCAGTTAATACTGGTGAAATTATAATATTAATTACAAATTAAATAATACTATAAAGGATACAATGCATGAATCACCACATTACTGACCGATAAAATTAGAATGTTTGTATTTGCAACTATGTATTTAATATGTAATTTCAGTATTATATTACAGAATTAGTTCCCATGTTAAATGAGACTCTTACACTTCAGATTAGCTCACTATTTTAGGCGGCCCTTTAGAAAAGAAATCGAAATCCGAAATCGGTGATTTAAAAATCTCTTTCTCACCAGAAACTCGCTCACAGTTCGGGTTCCAAGTTAAATTACTTACATACCATTGCCAGGGAGTGCCAAGTGCGTACATAACAAACAACGTGGACTTATGGTGTACGGACGGACATAGTGTTAAAACATGTAGACATCGCCGGTTCAAAATAAACACACATTTTCTAGCTAATGGTCTTCATCCAGCAGGTTAAGTTACAAATCGCAATACAGAAACGAATTGTTAAAATTATGAGTATTTTGCCTTCTTAAGATTATTGCAATTTGTAACTTTAAAATAAATCTAAAATGGTTGATGGGAAATAAACCAAAAAATAATATAATAATCTGAAATCAAAATTGTATGCTAACCGATCTTGATAGTATTGCATAACGACGCAAAATGAAATTCAAATAAATAACAGAATAAAACAGGTTCAAGTCCTTTACTTAAATTGAATTTAGATTTAGTTCTAAACTTCTAATCTTGGTTGAATTTGGTCAAATTGTGTTAAATTTAAAGTGTTTTTGGAAAGAAAATTTTCATGATTTTACAGACAAAAATAAAAACACCTGGGTAAACACTAATCTTTCATAACAGCCCCACTTACATATTCATTACTTTTTTAATCTAAAAGGAAAGTCCTTTCTTGACTAGTTTTTTAATTGGGACTCCTGTCTGAGCAAACAAGCAGTGCACAGTAAACATAACTAAAGTCACTTAAATTTTTTACAATCTGCCTCCAGTTATTCGTGAGACGAATCTCCCATTTAATTTATATCACTGCAACTCATATAGAGAATCTACATTTCTCTATTTATGAAAATGGGTAATGCCGTATTTTCCTTGATGTACAAACTTACTAAATAAGTAAAAATTCTACAGAGTAACTCACATGTAAGTGGGGCTTCAAAACCTAGCACATCAACAAACCTACCTCAGCCTTTTCCTTCAGCAAAGCGCGTACAGTCGACGCCAGATGTGGAAGCAATAGCGCCCGGGCGGCGGGCGCGGCGCAAAGTGGGCCCTTAACCAGCTCTAGTAGAGCCAGCATTCGTTGCTTGCTCAGCCGGCCGAGAGGTAACGCATCTAGTGCGCTCACTATGTAGGCGCTGTAAACGATGGGTAAGTTAACCTTGATTCATATTAGCAAACTAAAAATATCTATGTACAGTCACGGAATGAAAAGGTTCGTCAGTTTTCAAATTGATTCCTTCAACGAATCGCGAGCACATATTACCTTTTGAAACTATGTTACAGAATAATCTCGAGTTAGAGAAAATAATCTTTAACTGTTCGTCAGTAAAGTTCAAAATTATTCAGATCAAAGTTGTTTGACGATTTATCTTGTCAAGAAGATTATTATGATTGATAAACTAAAACCTTGTTGGTTCAACCTGCCATCATTATTTCTATTAATTAAAAAAAACTATTGTCAATTGGTCAATGTCATCATTGCATTGCACTGATGGGATAGAAAAATAAACAAGCAAAACCTTATTCGTTAGCAAACGTCATATTTATTTAAATGTTAGTAGCACTGTTTCTTGCACTGTTATGTTGGCAGGTTTGACTCTTACAGTACCTAGTGCAAGCGAAAACCGACACTAAGGTGACGAACCTTTTCATTCGACTGCTCGATACGACCAATAAATAATCTTGACTGGAGGAGGGGGAGCGCGGATTTTTTTGTATGGTCGAAAGGGAGCGCGTCTCAAATAAGTTTGGGAACCAATGATCTAGTGGGAGGCCTGCCTATAACACTACATATTTGTGGACAATTGTGGAAGTAATAAGGCCGGGCAGCGGGCGCGGCGCAAAGTGGGCCCTTAACCAGCTCTAGTAAAGCCAGCATTCGTTGCTTGCTCAGCCGGCCTAGAGGTAACGCATCTAGAGCGCTCACTATGTAGGCGCTGTAAACGATAGATGGGTAAGTTAACCTTGATTCATATTAGCAAACTAAAAATAGAACATCTAAATATTAACTTAAATGTGACTGACTGACTGACATAGTGATCTATCACCGTACAGCCCAAACCACTGAACGGATCGGGCTGAAATATGGCATGCAGGTAGATGTTATGACGTAGGCATCCGCTAAGAAAGGATTTTACGAAACTCCACCCCTAAGGGAGTAAAACGGGATCCACGCGTACGAAGTCGCGGGCGGCCGCTAGTTTTTCTCATAAGTAACTAGCGATTCACGAGTTCATTCGTTCGTTTTAAGCCAAATGTCGTCCACAGCTAGACAAAAGCCTACTCCTCCAAGGCTTTGCACAACGACCGGTCCTGCGCTATTTGCATCCAAGCACTTCCCGCGACCTTCAACAAGATCGTCGGTTCATCTAGTGAGAGGCCTGCCTACGTATTTGTAGACAATTGTGGAATCAATAGAGTCCAGGCAGCGGGCGCGGCGCAAAGTGGGCCCTTAACCAGCTCTAGTAGAGCCAGCATTCGTTGCTTGCTGAGCCGACCTAGAGGTAACGCATCTAGTGCGCTCACTATGTAGGCGCTGTAAACGATAGATGGGTAAGTTAACCTTGATTCATATTAGCAAACTAAAAATAGAACATCTAAATATTAACTTAAATGTGACTGACTGACTGACATAGTGATCTATGACATCCCAAACCACTGGACGGATCGGGCTGAAATATGGCATGCAGGCAGATGTTATGACGTAGGCATCCGCTAAGAAAGGATTTTACGAAACTCCACCCCTAAGGAGGTAAAACGGGATCCACGCGTACGAAGTCGCGGGCGGCCGCTAGTTTTTCTCATAAGTAACTAGCGATTCACGAGTTCATTCGTTCGTTTTAAGCCAAATGTCGTCCACAGTTAGACAAAAGCCTACTCCTTCCCGCGACCTTCAACAAGATCGTCGGTTCACCTATTGGGAGGCCTGCCTACACTACATATTTGTGGACAATTGTGGAAGTAATAAGAACGGGCAGCGGGCGCGGCGCAAAGTGGGCCCTTAACCAGCTCTAGTAAAGCCAGCATTCGTTGCTTGCTCAGCCGGCCTAGAGGTAACGCATCTAGAGCGCTCACTATGTAGGCGCTGTAAACGATAGATGGGTAAGTTAACCTTGATTCATATTAGCAAACTAAAAATAGAACATCTAAATATTAACTTAAATGTGACTGACTGACGTTCAACCTGCCATCATTATTTCTATTAATTAAAAAAAACTATTGTCAATTGGTCAATGTCATCATTGCATTGCACTGATGGGATAGAAAAATAAACAAGCAAAACCTTATTCGTTAGCAAACGTCATATTTATTTAAATGTTAGTAGCACTGTTTCTTGCACTGTTATGTTGGCAGGTTTGACTCTTACAGTACCTAGTGCAAGCGAAAACCGACACTAAGGTGACGAACCTTTTCATTCCGCGATTGTACTTAAGTATAAAAAACCCGCGACCGCTAAGAGAATGCATTCCGGACTGCTCGATACGACCAATAAATAATCTTGACTGGAGGAGGGGGAGCGCGGATTTTTTTGTATGGTCGAAAGGGAGCGCGTCTCAAATAAGTTTGGGAACCAATGATTTAGTGGGAGGCCTGCCTATAACACTACACATTTGTGGACAATTGTGGAAGTAATAAGGCCGGGCAGCGGGCGCGGCGCGGCGCAAAGTGGGCCCTTAACCAGCTCTAGTAAAGCCAGCATTCGTTGCTTGCTGAGCCGACCGAGAGGTAACGCGTCTAGAGCGCTCACTATGTAGGCGCTGTAAACGATGGGTAAGTTAACCTTGATTCATATTAGCAAACTAAAAATAGAACATCTAAATATTAACTTATAGGTGACTGACTGACTGACATAGTGATCTATCAACGCACAGCCCAAACCGCTGAACGGATCGGGCTGAAATTTGGCATGCAGGTAGATGTTAAGACGTAGGCATCCGCTAAGAAAGGATTTTACGAAACTCCACCCCTTAGGGGGTAAAACGGGTTCCACGCGTACGTTCGTTTTAAGTCAAATGTCGTCCACAGCTAGACAAAAGCCTACTCCCCCAAGGCTTTGCACAACGACCGGTCCAGCGCTATTTGCATCCAAGCACTTCCCGCGACCTTCAACAAGATCGTCGGTTCATCTAGCGGGAGGCCTGCCTACACTACATATAAGCGCGTACAGTCGACGCCAGATGTGGAAGCAATAGCGCCCGGGCGGCGGGCGCGGCGCAAAGTGGGCCCTTAACCAGCTCTAGTAGAGCCAGCATTCGTTGCTTGCTGAGCCGGCCGAGAGGTAACGCGTCTAGAGCGCTCACNGCGCGACTGATGATGATTTTTTTTTATCGGACAAACTATGCAATATCGTGTTTTGGAAAAGTTGTCGCCCTAGTTAAAGACATTAACTTACTCGTACAATTTTTTGTTTGCTAAAATATCTTTTCATTTAGAAGCTATCTGCAAACAAAATCGGTCAAATATCGACAATTTGGGAAATCATGGCCTTATTTCGGTTACACTGCATCCACAAACAACGCCATAATATCCGCCAGTGTGTCGGCGAATTTGCACAGGGAGTTCATTTCTACAAACGATCCGAAATATCGATGCAAATGACCGAATCGAGTAATCACCAGGACATCGGAAATCAATTCTCGTGCGTCCAGCGGTCAAACTGTTTTACATCGCCCGCTGGAGTCACTCAATTATATTTTGGGTCATTGTTTGTAAGAGAGAACAAAGGCAATGTATGAACATTTTGTGATGCTACACCATAATTATGAAGACAAATAACTGAAACTGGTAGCTGAAAAAACACTGATAAAGTACGGAACGCCATCATAATAATGCCCTGCAATGCATTAAGTATGTGTGTAAGAAGTGGACGACGTTTTCTTTGTTGAGTATTTCTTATAAGATTTAGCATATAACTTGTTAGTGAAAATAGTATTTAGACTTTAATGATGGTCAAAATATGGCGTATTTTTCATAGCAGTCAAGTCATTTTAAAGTTTACAGTTCTACTCGCAGTCTGTTTTAAAATATAGTCAGCACAAAATTAAACACTGTGCGATAAATCAATCTGGATTATTTGTCTGTATATCAAAATTGTTTGTTTCCCTAATATAAATAAATAAAATAAAATAAAAATAAAATTAAAAATTCATTTGCTAGGAATGTAAAGCCTTTCTAGCCGTAGGTAAATAAATATCAACTTTAGCAAACGCGTGGCGTCCGTTGCTCGACCGAAAATGGATATTGTTGTAAAAACCCCCACTGGATATTTTCGAAGGCTTTTTCAAATGCGTGTGTCAATTTTTTCGGTGCTTCAATTTGGGAGACGTCAAAGTGACAATGAATTCACATAGCCAGTGGCCGTGATTTATAGAAAACGGTGCGGACGTTTGACGAATTTTCCGAGTAAAATCAAAGCTTTCGGAGAAATCAAAATGTACTGGCTGTTGGGTTGGTCAATAGAATGATGGTCTAAGCGGTGTTCATTCATACATTTCCTTCTTTGTCGAAGACTGTCACAACATTGACAAAAGGGATGAATGAGTCATTGGCGTCTAACGTAATCTTAGATTAATAAAGCACTTAGTATAGTAAAACCAATTGTCTAGCGACACGTTTGCTGAGATGCTAAGACTGGGTTGCACCTCTTACTTTAACTGTAACGTCAATTTACCAAACTCCATACAAAAAACACCGGTTATCGTCAAAGTTACGGTCAAAGTTAGGTGGTGGGTGTGTGGTGCAACCCACCACCTAACTTTTTTAGTCAACTGTATCACTTATTTTGAGTAATTTTGTTAATCATGCCATGTTTGACATAAATGAACATTTTTTAAAATAATATTTGTACATTATGTGGCTATGATCTTATAGAAAGAGTCAGTCTCGCTTCGTTCGTTTCNCCCCACACGGCACAGTCTCGCTTAGAATAAATAAAAAATATAAATAACAAAAACATATTAAAGTTGGAAAAATGATAAATACTTATTTTTACAAAAAGTTAAATGGGGAGGCAGAAAGAAATATCTTTATTAAAAAGCTTTGTTTTGTAATTAGGAGGGTGTTTTGCCCTGGCGAATCATTAGCGTAATAGCGTTAATGGCCAAGGAGATGGAATAGTGATGTACAATTTATCGATACATTTCTGAAAAAATATTTGCGTAAGTAACGTGACTTGTCCGCGATAAAAATAATATCTCATAATAATAGGTACGCCAGTTTTGCAATTGTTTTAAAACCATTAATTTAAGACAATTAAAACTTTAAGTAGGTAACACTACACAGAAATCTCTCACTCATATGGATTTGACTGTAACACCAGTAGAAGAGTTAAAAAAATAATCCTCATATCACCAGATCCTTACTACCTTTCTGCATTCTGTGTAAAAATAATAATTTTAAAGCATCGACATTGATGAAAGTCTTTGTCACATCCCTAGCCCTTCACAAAATCCAAGTCTGAGGCTTTCCAGGAATGCCCGAAAAGAAAGGCAACGTGATAATTCCTCGTAATGAATATTTAATTATTGTTTTCGTTTTTGAACTTTTTTATCGTAAATTCAGCGTAATTAATTCATTGCTTTACACATTTTCCCACTTATTTTCGGCACGGGGTGGTATTTTTATTTCATCTTGAAGACGTTACCGTCGTTTCTTATTTTATACTGGAAGTTACTGTCTTGGAAAATTTGATATGTTTGGGGAAAGTTCAGGTAGGTACTTACTATTGGAGGAATTTTGAAACGTGTCTTTTACATGATGCTTAATTATAAAATAAAGCTTTGTAATAACTTACTCGTATGTATACCTAATGAAATGAAAGACACAATATTTTTTTTAAATTCATTGAAATCTTACTTTTATTATAATTTATTTAGATATTTTATCATAATAATTCAATTAAATAAATTCAAGCAACACTCGCTAACCTAGTTTAGAAGCCCTAAGCAATAACAACTTGCTAACAGTTAATTCGTAAACAATTTGAAAACTTAAAGTGAAATATATTCAAGCTTGTTTGATCCTTTGTTGTAAGAAAATGAAGGTCATTTAATGAAAGTTTTATTTAATAAAGGTTTGAGGCCATTCAGAACTTTTGATTACTGGGAACGTACTCCAAGTTACTAGACTTAGCGTTGATTTTAGTCAAAGTCCTTCATGTCGTGCAAAGTTTTACTAATTTTAGTTTCAAGATGCTTCTTGCTTTAGAACAATGCTGTCTTGAAACCTTTATTTATTTATCTACTATTAAAAAACAATAGAGCTAATGATGCGTATGTTAATGTGGTAACCACTGCATGCGCTAAGAAAGACCTTTATGTAAATTACAGCTTTCCAAACCAGGATTTAATTTTTAAAAATATAAAAATTCGTGACGTTTCCTCAAAAAAAATCTTAAGACTTAAGCGCTAGGGTTGGTTCACCTCAAGACAAAAAAAGATTGAAACGAAAGAAAAATCAGAACAAAAAGTCAATGACACTTTGAATTAATTTACAACTAAGAAATCCTCAAGCACCAGTGTTCCAAGTACACGTCGC